TGGTTGATAAAGGTATTTAGTCACTGTGCAGCTGGGGGAGGGAGAGAGGAGAAATGGATGATTTATCACCTTGAGTATATGCTAAACCTTGACAAAGCATGAATGCAGTTTTCTTTAGACATTTTCTTCTAGAGCACATTTTATGCACATGTGTGATTCTCATCTAACGCTGTCGGCTTGTGTGTATGTTAGACCAAACTGTTTGCTTAGCTGGGCCGTTTGCCCAGTGGATGTTCTGATGGCTGGTGACAGGGCTTTGCCTGCCCTGTACTGAGCAATTAGGAGTTTTGGGGACTGTAATTCAGGAATGGCAATATGGCTGTGGATTTTTGATTACCAAGTGAAGAGTTCATAATCTTATCTAGCGGCTGATTGTCAGCACAGAACTGGTCTCATAGCTCAGCTGCTCTGGTGTAGGAGTCATGTTTGTTTATTTCTGTAAGAAGAAGGCAATAAATCCATCAAGGAATTCTGCTAAAGGGTCTCTATTCTCTCAGGATAACATTGCAGACCTAAAGAAATCACAGGTATAAATGTAAGGTCAGGTGTGGTTTTCTTTGATTTGCCAGAAACTACTGTTTATTTAAGAGAGGGGAAGTATGAGAACCTAAACCTCAAAGTCAAGTACAGCTAAACCCCCCTAACACACAGGGGAGACACCTCAAGAATAGCTCCTTGGATAGGTTTTTTTTCATGTCATTGTGGTTGTTCTTCGGTTATTAGATATGTTGGCTATTTTTTTTTAGGTCATTTTCAGGTGGGGGGTTTCACACACGTAAGCTTGTTTGTTTAAGTGGTGCAGAAAAAAGGACAAGGAACATAGCAGAACTAGCATAGTGTTACAGATACCACTTTGTAGATATTATCTGTCCATAGATATTGTCCAGGAAACAATCTGTACTGCCTACTACCTTGCTCTGATCAGATATATGAATGTCACTTCATTTTGGGCACTTTTGATTAGCATAGGTACAGTTCAGTGCTCCCATATTGCTGCTAAAATAAAACTTTTTTTTTCCCTGAAATGATGAAATTCTGTGTTTCTATGTTCAGAATCGGAAAGCTCTTCACTGTGAGATGAAGAGTAAGAAAACTTTATCTCCTTGCTATGCATATTCTTTCTAATCTTTTCAATACAAAGAAATTGTTCAGTGTCACTGGAATATCCCAGCTCTGCAGGTTACATGTTAATGCCCACTTCTCCCAGACAGAGGATCATATTCCATTTAGGAGTACAAATGTTATGATTGCTAGTTACCAAATATGCCATGTACGACTCGGCAACTAAGAATTTCTTCATGTGTCTCCTCACACATAAACATAAGAGTTAATAAAAAGATTTGCCACAGATTTTTCATTTTACTTTGATTACTCAGTTTTACATACCTGTCCTAATTTTTGACATATTTAATAAGATGATTCCAGACTATAAATTCTCTACCTTGTAATTTGTAAATTAACACTTTTAATCCATTGCTAAGACAGCCTAAAATTCTCAGGAATATAGCTACTGCATTTTGCATGTAGTGTAGGCAGATTTTAAACTTTTTGGAAGACATAGCTAAGAAAGAAAAGGACTTGTTTTGTTGACAGCTTGTCTTGAGGAGACTAATTCATAGCTTACAAAAAAGAAAGCAGAAATGAGCTTTACCCTGAAGCTAGACAGAAAAAAAAAACACATAAATTTAATAGAATAATCTAAGTTTGGCTATGACTGAAGCACTAGATACAGCCAAATAAGATTTTTAGATCAGACCGGCCCATTGAGCTGAATACTGTCTCAGCCCATGGCAACAGGGGATGCTATTTAATTCAAGTGCATGAGCTTGAATTGGCTCTGCAATTCAGTCCCCCCATACTCTCCTAGCACCTTGAATTTTTGTTCTGTAGATGTCAGAGACACATCCCTGCCTCTTCCCTTTACTATCTATGATCCTATTGTCCATGTATTTGTCTTCTACTGTTTTGAACTGTTGGCAGCTCCACAATCTCCTGTGGCAACAAATTCCACAAGTTCACTACTCATGGTGCAAAGAAAAATTCTTGTCTGCTTTAAACTGCTGTTCTTGTAATTTCAGCAAAAGCTCCCCAAATCTACTATTGCAGGATTTGGAGAATAACCATTCTTCCTCTGTTTTGTCTGATGTTCTTATGACTTTGTAGGCATCTCTCTTAGGGAAGATTATCTGTAGCAGAATTAGGGATGCTTACACAGGTGAGTTTGTGCATATTTTCAACCTTCCACAAATTACCTGTCTGCTCAGCATTTTCAAAAATGCTGCTTTAATTGATGTTCGTACTGCACTTGGCCTGGTGGCTCACCTGTGGAGCAGGGTGAGGACACTGCTGGGTCCTTCCCAGTCCCAGCATGCCCCACATCTGCCCCATGCTCTCAGGGTGAAGGAGAGCCTGGCAGCCAGCCAGTGAAATCTTATTGTGTAGGTGGTATTCATTAGGGGATCACTTATGAGGTTCATTTTAGATTTATTTGAATGTTCTGGTTTATACTGCCATGGACTTGTATGTATGAAAGCCCCACGTTTAATAGTGATGTGTGAACTTTTCAAATGTTTTCTCTACACTTCTACTCTAAACTCTCAATTTTCTCTTTTTCACTTTTTTGTTCTTTCCATTGTATTTTCTGATTATACCCACTGGGAGACTGTGATGTCTCCTTGCACAAGACATTAGGGTGTCTGCACCACTACTTTCAAGCTGTATGCAGTACAGCTTGCAACTATAATGCAGAGTAGTCAAAAAAAAAAAAAAAAAAGAAAAAGAAAGAAAGAAAAAACAAAGGTAGAGACTGGCACTAAAGCTAGGGGGTCTATATTATATATTATGCAATATTAAATATTGCATCCTTTTCTCTCTAATATTTTCAAGTAGGAAATAAGTCTCCTTTCTGTTGAAAGATAGTTCTGCCTTTGAAGACAGAATAACGTTTACATAAATGGTAAGGTCTTCTTTAATGTAGCTTTCATTATCTCCTATGTTCCCCCTTTCTCTGAAGGTCCAAGTGACTGATGTCAAGATCAAGGGAGTCAATCAATGTAGATACACTCCAGGACCCAGATAGCACATAAATCACCCTTAGTCCTAACCACAGTAGACACCTAACTGAAGGACAAGAGTTTACATATTTGCTGTTCTTGTGGGGGAGGCTAAATTTCCCAGCCACTTACCTAACGGGAACCCCTCATTCATTAGCCAATTGGGGTGCTTAGTATCACTTATCAAATAGGCTAATCAAAGTTTGAGAGAAACCAGCTCTTGACCACTTCTTGCCCTCTAAGCACTCCAGGGCCACCTCCCACCCCTGGACTTTTATCTAATTAAAGTTAAAGAGGAGAAAATTAATCCATGGAAGAAAATGAGATAACAGCTACCATAGCAGACCATCCCAGAGTCTGTTTTGCCTTTCATCTATTGCTACCTGACAATTAACTCTTCAGCAACACAGGAACCCGATTTTATAGGAGCAGAATCTGTTCCTTCACGCAGTGATGAGCATTGTTCTTATTTCATGTTCAGTATTCACTGCTCCATGTTGGAGCTCCTCTACTTGTACTGGGTGCGGGTGGATTAGAAAGGTCATCCTTTACTCTCCTTCTCTCAGGCTTGACTTAGTGCTGTTTTCACTTGCAGAATACAAAAGTGAAAACTGTAATTTATTACAGTACTAGCAATTCAAGATGTTTTGCTTGGATCCTGTCTTTGCAATTGGTTACCAACATTCCAGCCTTTCTTGCTTTTGTTGGCTACTAGTTTATAATCCTCAATTTCATTCTCTAAATCTGTGTTTAAAAAGACATTTCACAACACAGGGTATTTTGTTTTATTTTGCTTTTTTTTTCTTGTCTTTTTCTTGGAAAAAGTGTGGAGTGTCCCCTTTGCAAATTCACTGTGATGTTTTGGACAACTTTTTTCCTGTTTGGTGCTCTTTTGTTTTAAAATCCTTGCTACTTTTCTTAAACCTCCTGATTGTAAAATTTCTGGAACCCAAAGGATCTTCCTTTATGATCACTTGAATTTTTCAGCAGCTGAAGCTTTGGCACTGTGAATCTCAGAAATGAATTGACTCCAGTAAGGCCACAGCAGTTGGCTACACTGCCAACACTGCTACGACTTGCACTTTATGGGGTACTTGTGAGTCCCCAATGGGGACCATGCATGATGACATGGGAGGTGACAGCAAGCCCCAGCAGCACCTGCTGGGCACTAAGTAGCTGTGTGCAGGGCAGCACCACCACACCACTCTCCTCTGGCTTGCAGGCTTTGGTGCGCTGAGGGAGCAAGCAGCGCTCAGTGTTCTTTCTAAAAATACTCTGATTTCAAGGCTGCATTTGTATTTCCAGCATCTTTAGCAGGAAACGTTGGATTTTAAAGGCTGTGGGATAGGCACATGTGGCCAAAATTAGGAGTGTTGAGGAAATCCCACTTAGAGTCCATGCTGTCTGTGTTGTAACTTGCACCTTTAGGCACTCAAAGGCGGGTGAGTTAAAGTAGACCCACTTGGGCTTCTGTCTAGAGACTTAAAAATGGTTTAAGTTATGACATATTTATATTATTTTGAAACTGGCCATTGCTATTAGCATATTTTGGGGTGTCATTAAATACATTACACGAGTAACATTAATATTGTCAGTATGCAGTTCCTAGCACTTAATAACATGTATCCTGCAACATAGTTAATTACTTGCAAATGGAAGTTGTAAAAGATAATAGTGTTCAAACCTTTTAATTTAAATCAAAAAGAAGCCCCAAGCATGCCTTTCTGTACTGATCTCTTCCAAACTTTGGGAAAATTTTAGTCCATATCAATGTCTGAACTAATATCTGGCCTTTCCTTTAGCTACCTGAACTAATCCATCAGACCTACAATTTAGAACTATGACCTGCAGCTGTTTGGTTATGGAAAGGACACTGGTAGGACTTTTAAAGCGGGATAAGTGAGGCAGTGAAAATGAGATTCAGTAATCCCCCTGTATTATAAGGTATTTTGCACAGGGTGGGAAGAAGCTGGGACTTTGGCCTGCTCCTGGACCCCAGGCAGCTCAGTGCTGCCTGTGGATGCAGGCAGCAGTGAAGTGCCTGCAGACCCCTCCTAGCCCTCCAGTGCCAGGGCAGGGACCCAGTTTAACTTGGATATCAATTAATACCAGCTGCTTTGCCTTGCAATGTGGACCTACTAGGAACTGGTAATAGCCATAATCAGGAAATGCTCTAGAGAGAATGATTCTGCCCTGGGAGGGGGACAGGCTGTGAACTGCAACAGGTCTTTTCAATCTCTAATTTCTACATATTTCATTTATACAGGGCACTGAAAACTTAAATTGTAACTAGCTTTGGGCATTATTCACAAGAGACAGATTTGATCCAGTGACCCAAAGGCGAAAGGTTCTGTATTCGATTAGCAGCCCCCTACCAGTGCAGTCCCTCACCAAGGTTTTTATATCAATAACTAAATACCACTAACCTTTACAAGGTACATGGTAACGTTTCAGTCTCCTAATTCTGAATCATTTCACAAGCAAAGGGAAGTTCAGGTTTGCGTTAAAAATGGAACTTCTTTGACAGCTTGTTATTAGATATTTAGGAGCAGAATTATTTTTGAAAGAGAGGGAGAAGGAAATCAGTGGATTATGACTCAGTGGGTTTAGGAGTGTCTAAAAGGCACTGCCCTCAGAGAATATATCAGGCACTGCTCCTACACTGCTTTTCCCACCCTCTCCTGTGACTGATTGCTGCAGAAATTCTTCTCTCCCCCTTACTGGCAATTTTACATCTTGTACTATATTACCCACTGGAATGTCCCTTGGAATTCCACCCAGGATCCAGAAGTTAAGAGAGTCTTGATCTTGATACTACTGAAACTTGTAAGTAAGATAAAAAGCATTTCTGCATGTATTTTTTGAGCATGCACAAAAATGTGTACAGGCTAAGACGATAGAATGCTATTTCCAGCTTCTATTAACAGTAAAAATGTGGAAATAACCAAAAATAAGTTACATAAAATAGCAGTTGGAGGTCAGTATTCCTGTTGGAGGAAGTCTTGATGTATTTTTTTCTTTTTTTCCTTTACCTACAAGCCAAACATCACTAAGCCAGAAACCACCAACCAGTACAGTCTCACAGTAACAAGATATTAATAGCCCATGGAAAAATCAACATATAATTTTATATTATGGTTCTTACTACATTCCCTGTATTTTTTTATTCATTTATTTATTATTTTTTTTAGTTCTGACCTAACTGTAACACAAGAAAAGGTGGTAGAATGACATACATAAGTGTGTGTTCCTTTTAATTTGTAATATATTCAAAATATGGTTGGAAATTTCCTATATGATTTGTTTTAAGGAACATTCATTTCAATCTTTTATTACAGCAAGCTAGGAATTTCACATACAAATTTTGTTGTTGCTTTCCATTTGAACAAGCCTATCATCCTTTAATATAGAAAAAGCATGTAATAATCCTGAACTGAAACATCTTGTCCCTCATGAGGGGGCTGTCTGTGGGCCTGCTTTTTCCATCTTTAGCTATACGGGCTCCTCTCACACACGAGCTCTTCTTTATTGTTGTTATTTGTGCATACGTAAGTAAACACACAACAGTTTTCATTAGATATCAGAGAACACACTTGCATTTTACTTGTATTGATCTTTAAGGAAGACACCCACATACATACAGGTAAGTAGGCATTGTCAGAATAGATGCCTAAGCACATCAGTGCTTTTACTTTAAGGTTAAAATGACAGCAGAGATATTCATATAGATCGTAGCGGCCAATGACCTGAACTGGGTTGAAGCATACCTAATGACTGTCTGGTCCTTCTTCATTTCTATGCATGCTCTACTGTTTCTACTGATCTTACTTGTTGTCCCTTCTCGTGCAAGTTCCTTTTGACACCAGTGACTTGGACCCGCCTATTGCCACATTTCCTAATCCATTTGATATTTCTTGATATTTCGTTATCCTCACGCACAGGCCACAGAATACTTTTGAATGGCATTGAACAATCTCTTGATGTCAAAATGCCAAATCCAGGAACTTGCGTGTTAACAATTTAATGAGAGCCTAATGTGGATTCCACTATGCCCATCTCCTCCTTGTAGCAGTATGCAAGCAGATTAGCAAACTTTCAGCATCTCTCAGCCATTCCCTCTGAAGCTGGTTCAGAAGTGCAAAGCTCTTCCCTGATTTCAGGAGTGTTAAAATAGCAGAAAAATCATCAAGCACGAGAGAAGAAATGCAGACACAGCTCCTCCAAAACTTGCCTTCTAGCAATAAAAAGCAAGCTTGAAAGGAAGAGTTCATTCAGCAAGAGGGGTCTTTAGGATAAGGTGCTACACATGTAACACCATTGTCACAGGCAAGCCAAGAGCTGTGCTCAGTGTGCAAAGGAAAAGCTTTCAGTCAGAGCAGGACTTTCAAAGAATTCTAGAAATTCGAAGTGATGCCGAGGAGCCTGAGGAAACACAAAGGCTGGTGGAGCTGAATTGCAGGCTTGCTCTTAGGACTCCTTGGATCTTAAGGATGCTTTGCTCATGTTTGTATTCTGATCCCAAGGCGAGATTAGACACTTGGGAAAACACTGTGTTAATCTACTCCACAGTGATTCACGCTGGTCACCAGACTGGAGTGAAGTCCCGCTGAAAAGTTTTAAAGCTAAGCAACAATATGGGAAGCAGAGCCAAACCAGCAGTGTTATTTCTAAGGCTCTGTTCCAAAACTACTGTCTCGTCTTCAAAAGAGTTCAATTTAATACTAAAAATTACCAAGATGTGGGGTCAATAAATCTTTTTTAAAGTGATAAACCACAAAGTGCCCCATGAATTGATCTACTTCATGTTGCCATGGACTTTGTAATCTTCCTTTTTTTTTTTTTTTTTCCATATACCCAAGTACTTCATTCTGTTCTCTCCTTGAAAATTGGAGGATTTGGGTTTCTCCCTCTCCCAAGATAGTTATCATTGGCCAGTGCATCAAACAACTTCTAGTGAACCCCAGCCACAGAACAAATATACCACCTACCAAACCAAAGGCGCCCTATTCAAATCACAGGCCCATTTGGCAGCAGCTCCTCTCATACCATTATATCCAGAGCAAACCATAAATCTTTTGTCTTGGACACTACTTGCTACCTCAGGCGTGTAAAACTAGCTATTACAACAATTTTAGTAAAATGATCAGCTGCTAGAAAGGCATTGTGTTTTATGTAGGTGTAAAACATTTCACTAGGTTAGTTTCATATAGGTCTATCTTTCATTTTTCACAATTCAAGTCCTTCCTTCTAGTAAGCTTAAAGCCTTTTTTTTTTTCTTTGTTTTTTGTTTTTTGTATCTGCTGGTTGTGTTTCCTGTTTGTTTGGCTTTAAGTTTTCTGTTAGACTCTTTTCTTTTCATTTTGTTTTGTTTGTCTTTTAGTATGTTTTCCTTTTGCCTGTGTGGTCTCTTGCATTCCTTGTGAGCTCAGAAACATGTCTTACAGGACATTTGCAGGAACTATCACCGCACGTGATTCAATGTCAGGAAGAAACTCCCCATTACTGCCTTAGCTAAAATGTAGGTTTGAAAACACAAGAGCAAATTTGTATCTATCAAAATCAGATTGAATTGTTATAGGACATTGCTTAAACCTAATTGGTTTAATGGAATTTAGCATAGTCTGTAACATGGTAGATTATTCTAATACATATTCTAGTTTAGCACACAAGCAGAAATTTTAAGAAGGCACTTAAAATGCTAATCCAAACAGAGTGATTCTGGAGTATATGCAGAGAGCTTTCATGGCAACTGTCAAAAGGCACATATGCGTCCTAGGCAGACCTGAAGCCTGGGTGCTGGCTGGTTGGTTGTTCTCTCAGTCCCCTTTTGTACCACTCCTAAATTCTTGCTAATGCTGCCTCAGTAATGCATGGGAGTAAGAGAGGAAAGAAGAGTTTGAAGTATTTGTTTACCTCCGGGTAAACAAAACCTCCGGCTTTACCTCCAGGGCTGTACAAAGCTGCATATGTTACTTTCCACCTTCTGAACTTGGTTCAGATCCATTTGATTGCTCAGGTGCTTTGTCCTTAGAGGCAGTTTTGCTGCCTTTCAAGTTTCTTGGGGAAAGATTTTTTTTATTTATTTTTTCTCCTGCTGCCATCTCTGATCCAGCTAACTAGGAATGCTACAGAGCGAGTGTGAAATGCCGTTAGGTCATGATTTCTCATCCATAAGTGTAACAGGTTTAACCAAGCTCCTTTCTTCCTAAGGTTCACAGCCCAGAGAAGAGGCTAGCTCTGAAGGATAGCTTTTCCTGCATCATATAACATTAAAGTCCTTATGTCAGAGGACTTTAAAAGTGATTTAGCCCCCCCACCCCACCCCCACCCCTTTCCATTCAAAAGCAATGTATAACCTCACACGGTGTGCTTCTACAGTGAGACTGAGAAGGGAATTTGCCCTGCACAGGTAGCTTATGAACCAACAGGATATTTTTAGCACAGTGTGTCATGGACTCAGGTCTGAAGATATGCTGCTTGTTTTGCAAGATATTTCTTGTCTTGCCTGATTTTGAGTGCTCCAGCTAACCTTCCTGGAGCCCATGCTTAGCCACAAAAAGAAGAGAGCTTGTTCCTTTCCTAAACAGTCTTCAGAGGAAGGCTCAAGGGTGTTTACTGACAAATTTAAGAAACTGCAGGAAATCAGTGAAAAAGAAGAAATTTGCATAAAAGTCCCATCTAAAAGGAAATATAAGAGCCTAAAATTTGTAGAGGAAATCCAAGTCTGAAAAGTAATTGCCCTTGTTTAGATTAAATACAAGACAGCATTTTAATAAGGAAGCAAAACCTCTGGCTGAAGTGTTATTTTCCAGCCTTTCTCTTATTTTATGTTTAAAATTAGGTGGATTCTCCTCAGATTCACAATCCCCAATAAATTAACCTGTCCAAATAACACATGCACAGGATAAAACTATATCTTTGATTTTGATTGCATTGCTTATGGTTGCAATTTAGGTGGTCTTGATTCAAAACGTTTTTGTTCCGGGGACTTGGACACCCTTAAAGTGCTGAAAAAATCTCAGTTCTTACATCGATCTAGTGAAGTTGTTGGTTGCAAATATATAAACATGTTTCTTTTTGCTGATAAATGATAATTTTTCAAATATGGTTCTATGTCTATGGAATATCACTGTTCTTTTATAGGGACTATGGACTTGCACTCTTGTAACCTAGAATTTAGTTTTGAATGGGACAGATTTTATCTGTAAATATAATTCCTAAATATCCAACAGAACTACAGGAAGTGTTAACTGAACTGTGACATAGGTACAAATAAACTGACATAATTAAGGAAATACAATTTCTTGAAGTCTTACAAATCAGCAATTGAGTTTGTATCTCATGGCCAACTTGATATAAAAAAATAGTTTATTAACAGAAGTACCTTGCTTCCTGCTCTAGAGCTATGTTAGCATTGTGTTGACTTCACATTACATGACTTTACCAGACCTTAGTAGCAGCGCTTGGAATTAAAACAGAAGAAATTATGCTAAAATAAAAGGTTGCAATAGGATGGGACATTTAAACAGAGCAGTGCATCCTGTTGGACAAGGAGGCTTACCCTCCTTGCTTGTAGGTTCCCTTCAACATGAATATGGAAGTACTTGGCTAATGTGAAAGAGGATGAGGATTTACCCAATCAATAGTGCCACAGTCACTGGGGATCTGGTTTTAAACAACTGCATAATGATGATGTAGGTTTGTTTGTTTTTTCCAATATAGATTACTAAACTAAAAGATAATTATTAATTTGCTTTGAGTATGGATAATACCTTATCACACTACTAGAGAACAGGCAGATTTTAAAGACTTTTTACTATGGCCATATACGATACTCCTTAAATTAAGTATATCACAGGTTGTATGTATATACAGTTAGAGCACACGAGCAAATGTATTATAAATCTTCCAGACAAATCTTAATAGAGCAAGATAGGCATAGGCATTTTGCTGGCGTAGGCAAAAATGAAAGTTAATTGGAAAGTGCTATCACTCCACTTGCATATCCTAATGCCCTTCTGCATTATGTTACATTTAGCATAATTCCAACCTCATCCATTCTGTGATTCTGTGATTTGGAGGAACTGTGATTCTGTTATTTTTAGAGTCCCACTTTTAAAAATGTGGGACTCTTTCCACACACCCTTATGGAATGTTCATCGTTCCTAACTTAAAAACTGCAGCAGCCTTATGGATATGCATGACAGTGTTTCTGTGTCTGTTTCTCCACACAGTTTTTCATTTTTGGACTTTAGTACACCTGACTCTTCTATTTTTTTCTCTATGCCCAGTCTTTACAGGATCACACTACAGATGCCTTGTAGTATCTTAGCACTTTTTCCTTTTCAAGGCACTGGGGGTGGCAGGCAGGGAGTGGAGGAAGGGGGAATGTTCTTCGCAAAACTCCAACCTATTAAGTTCTTCTTCAGTTTCTTCTTCTTCTTTTTTTTTTCTTTTTTCTTTTTCTTCATTTTTTTTAAGTAGAGCTATCACCAACTTGATAAATTACAACACCCTAAAGGTGAGCTACAATCCATGTTTTCTATAGATCATGCAAAGACATGCGTATACACTGCTAAAGACATATACAAAATACAAGATCCATCAAAATATATAGTGGTGAAGGCAATTCCTGTATAACGTTTTTTTAGTTGTTCTTTATATTCTTCGAGTGAGAAACAAAAATATATATGAACTGTTATATGGGAAGATTGGAGCATATGCTCACACCTGTTCAGTAAGTGGGAAGTAGTGTCATCTAGTGGTTAGCTCAAAGCTAAATGGGACAGGAGCTGTAATTCTGTGTATAGTAACAAAAGTTTAATTCATGCGTTGCTATACTGTGTAACTTAAAGGAAATTATTTCTGTCTCAATGATTCAGCCAGGAGACAAGGAAAAAGTAAAGCCAAGTGGAAATCATACACAGAAATATCAGAAATATATCAGGTCTGTCCCATTCTGTTCAAATGTACGCTTTTTTTTTTTTTTTTTTTTCATCCTACCCCATCCCTTACAATGTTCTACAATGTTCTCCTCTGATGGTGCAGACCTATTGAGACAATTTGACATACCTTCTGTCTAACCTCTTCCATGCAATATAGGTTGAGAGCTACTCTGGCAGGGCACCAATACATTACCTTATATAAAGATAAGTATGTTTATGTTGAAACTTACAGTAACTGAAGTTAGTTCAGTATTCAGAAATATAAGAATAAACAAGTCTATTTATGCATAGAAAAGCTTTATAAGATGGAACTAGCTTCATTTCAAAGCTGCTTCTTATTGTTTCTTCTTACAACACGATTGTTAGAAATCATGTAGACTACAGTAGTCCTTAGTATCACTTCTGGGTGCAGGAAAACATGGACTTGAGCATGTGCTTACAGCTGACAGAAATGGTAGTGTTAAACACATAAAGCTAAGTGTGTGATTAATTTCTCTCTTCTCTCCAGATTTGGGGTTTCTAATATGAACAAAGTACTCTATGCTTTTAATTTTTAATGTCAAAAGACTTAAAGTTCTAATTTACAGCTACTTCGTATATAAAAATCACTGTAGGGTGTTAACATAAAAGCTAACTTGGACCTGGATGCAATGTTATTAGCATGATTACTTGCTATGAAATCTTAATGAGAGTTTCATCCATTACAGTTTCATCTATTAAAATTAAAGAAACTAAAAATCTACTGAAATAGTTGAATGAAACACATTAAAATGGAGCAATTATAAACAGGACTTTTCCAGCTGCCCTTGCTAACAGGCAACTCTAAAATAACAGCAACGCATGTCTTAAGTTTCTGCTAACAAAGCTGATTTCTGACCAGAAGGCTAGAGTATTCTTTTTCATCTATTAAGGCCTAAAAGTGACAGTTCTTCGTCATATCCCTAATATTTCCTTTTCAGCTCACCAAGGCCAAAATGTCATCTTTTCTTGTAAAACAAAAAATCAAAGCCAAATGGTTAAAATGCAAAGTTTTGGTTAAACAAACAGTCAGTATTTCAGTGGTTTTATCTGCAGCCTGCAGAGCAACTAAACAAAGCCAAGATATTGTCCATCTCTTTGACAGACAAAGAGCCTCAGAGGTCCAGAATGACATGCCCGGGGCTGGCACGTGATTAGAGTAATTAAATTAAATAGCAGGAAACATGTTTTCCATATGCCATTGCCTGGCCACACACAAACTGTAACAGTAAATCTTTTATATTACATTGGTTCAGGGAAATGTGTAACCATCTTAAAAATGCGTGATGCCCACAAAAATAAAGTTAAAGGGAATATAGTAGCATACTCAACTGGCTCCCTGGCTTTGGTCATTGGCTTGAAATGTCGAACAAGTTCATTCCTTATTTATTTATTTTTAAAGGCACAGCTCAAAATGCCCTGAGCATGTGAACATCCAGGAAGCATTGCTGGGTTTACACCGGCGGGTAGTGCTGGTGCTCTGATTCAAAGGAAAAAGAAAGAATCTCCAAGTAAAGTTAAGAGAAACATCTTGGGTACCTTACAACGTGAGGTTCTAACACATTTCTCTCAGGCTTTTGCAATAATCAGGCCCTCCAAATGTGTATTAAAAAAGATTTTTTTTTAAAGTTGTTTTCCACAGCAACATGATCTCAAATTATTTTGTTTTCATGGGCAGTTTTTAGGAAAGACAGCATGTTTATCCATGCCATAATACAATCAGAGTTGCCAGTCAGTGGCATCAAGTGTCATTGCTGAATTTACTTGTAGTTGACCTGTTAAGATCACCTAGAACACTTACTAATCTCTTTTCAATTCATCTTTCAGTGGTCGATGGTGCCAAATTAAATAATTGTTATTTTTATTATTTTGCACAATAAGAACAAGGTTGCAAATCAGTTTAGAAGGAACTTTTAAACAGTGATGTCACTGATTAAATGTCCAGTTCTTGAGATTTCTGGGAGGTGACACACAGGAACATTTACTGTAAATGATAAATTCTGTAGACTGCATAATACTCTTGACATGAAGAGAATTAAGAATTTGGGGAAAACCATTTCAGCACACGAAAAAGCTGTCCTTTAAATTAAATTTTAAAGGAAAAAAAAAAAAAACAAAAAAAAAAAAAACAACACTTTCTAGTCCAGTATGTATTGGATAATTTCATAATATTTTTAGGTATTCCATCTACACTTTATGCATTTCCTTAACCAAGAATGCTCAGATAAGCAGTCAGTTTCTGATACTAGGTTCAGAACTGAATTGGAGTGCTAGGTTTAATAATTGATAATAATTCAGTGAAATTAAAATACAGACTTTGATCTGGAAAAATAAATGTACACTTATGTTTAAAAGGTAGGATAACAATGATGATAGAAAACTGATGCTCTTGACTCAATCTTTACTTACTACAGTATTTCTCAAATTATTGAAAGTTATTGATTCAAGTTGTAATAGGTATGATTAGGAATTGGAACTTTTGTTCTTATACACCTGTGAATGCTTTCTTTACTAACTAACCTCAATTATTCAGTCTGGAAAAGATCTGGCCAGGAAGAGATGGACCTGTTCTCTGAGATGAGGAGGGCTCTTAAGCCTAACTTTGAGAACTGCTGTTGGATGTTTTATGGCCTCTTCTTCCTGTCCTCATCCTCTCCCCACCATTGCTTCCCACAGAAGTGCCAGAACAAGGAAGACGCCTTATCATCTGCCTGCTTTCCTGCTCTGTGGCTGGACATGGCCTCCTGCCACTGTCCCTTCCCTGCCACAGAAGTCAGGTCCCTCCACAAGAGACCCCAGCACATCTGTGAAGCAGCAGTTACTGAAGGTAATTGTGGCCTTTCTGGAGATAATCTCATTTTTGCTAGACCCCTATGGCCTTAAGAAGGCAAATTCAAAGAGGTCTGCAAAGGGTCTGATGCACCTGAGGATGCCTGCAGGTCTGCCCTTGGGCTATGGGTGGGAGAAGGGGCTGGGGAAGGCTGTGGAGTAATTTACTGAAGGAGAGTAACAGAGGGGTAGCTTTGTTTGCACCTGTTCCTGTCCTGCAAAATGTGTTCTTGGAAAGCAGTTCTGATTTTCAGGCTCTGGTGCTTCCTCAACACTACCTGCTCAGCCGAGTGCTGGGAGAAGCCACTTTCCCTATGGCCCTCCACAACTGTTTCAGTGGCACAGAGAGAACTTAATCCATGGAGTGAAGTTAGTAGCATTTCTTTGTCCTCATAATGCCATTGTGTACTTAGACCTATGAAGCCAAGTGAAAATGTGGTCCAGCAGCTCCTGCCAGTGTTAACAAAACTGATTTAGTTTTGTCCTCAGTGAATTGTTCAGACCAAAGAATTTGGACAGCTGTGTGGGTTTTTTGTTGTTGCTGTTTTTCCTCTGCCCTGGTCTCTCAAATTATCCACCCTATTCCTCATTCCCAAGACCTGTTATAAACCCCAAGGACCTCCTCTAGCACAGCTTCCCACATGCTAAAGGCAGGGACCAAGCACAGCGGCTGTTTCCCGTGGCAGCAACTGGGCAGGTAGTGTCTCACCAGTGATGGTGCAGCCCTGTAACAGTGACCTTGGGGAAAGGGGCGGGGGGGGAACTATCAGTACATGAATAAGAGCTTGCTGTGTGTCAAGCATTAAGCGTTCTTTCTTGTGACTTCCTTAACTCTGAGCTGAAGCTATCAATCATGCTGTCAGAGACAGTAGAGACAGTAGAGCTGATCCTGGTAAGATGTAAAGAGCTTATAAAAATCTTCCTTCTCTGTTAATGTACCTACCCATTTTTGACTATCTGTCTATAAGTTAGTATTCAGCCTCTCGCAATGACACTAAATGCGCGTGTGGCCATGACAGCAAGGAGAAGCAAACACTGATCCCTTTCTATAACCGACCAGTTGAGTTCACAGTATCGCAAAGGTTAATGCTGCATGCATTTTGACCAAGGTCTGCAGAATCAATGACAAGCCCTACTTTTTACAGAAGCAGCAATGGCAGAACTATTCAAGTAAGGTATCCCTGGGCTGAACCTGTGGTGATAGCACCTGTATTCAGTGCTGCAATTTGTTTTTCTGTCAGAAACACTACCAGAGACTGATTTGAAGTCCTCTGCATAAAATCAGTAGCTTCATAAAACTAAAACTTACAGAAGCTAATGCGAAACTATGATAAAAGACCTGCACAAGTGCAGGTAAATGGAGAACAAAAGCATTCTATAAAGAAAAGAAAGGAAGATGTCAAAGGATGTGCTGTTGGCACCTACGATGCCCTAAGGCGAGGTGTCAAAATGGATCAGAACAAGTGAGAACTGAGGGAACCCTGATGACCACCTGTTCCCGTGTGCAGTCAGGTGGCTGAGCAAATGAGTTCTCTGTGTATGGTGACTTTTAAGCTTGTATTTTTAGTAGAGGAAGATCTAGGAAAGCAAGCTAAGGAACAGCTGTTCTCTATAGCTATTCTGTTCATAGGAAAGAGCATTTTCCAACAACATTTCTGCCCAGTGCTACTTCTGGCTTTGTTTAGTAACAGAAATCAACTTTGAAATCTGCAAACTGCCACCTAAAAGTATCCCAGCACCCTTCTCAATGGGTGTAAAAGGGAAAGATTAAAGCATTGGAGACCAATACAAATGCTTTAGCTGAGCTAAACCCTCACCCTTGCTAAACCCTCACCATTGCTGCACTCTTGTAGCTGTAATTTTCACAAGCTTCTTTGCTGAGGAAATGCAGGCAGTCTGAGCAGAAAGACCTCCTCAGCTTCCTGGGGATCCAAAGGTCACAGGCCAGGCCATGAGAGGAGACAGATTATGAACTGCCTTCTGCATTAGAGCACCTATATCTCCAAGGCATTCAAGCTGAGCTGCTCTTCCAGGGTGTTAACCAACAGATCTTTATTAAGACTTAGTCGCAGTGTGCTGAGGAGTGCATGTATTTACTGTCATATTTTAAGGGAAGGAAAAAATGAAAACTTGTGTGTGTGCATGCGCCTGTCTGTCAGGGAGAGAGAAAAACATTTGGAGGTCAAAACAGAGCTCTTCCAAACACAAAGCATTTAAAGAAGTAGCTTTCCAAGAACACATAATCCTTTTCAATGAGAATAATAATAATAATAAAAAAACATGCTGTCTGATACAGGAAATGATAAATTGCCCATTGGTATGAAAGTAATATCATCTGACTGTCAAAATGTGAAGTGATAATTATTGGGATCTGCACTTAACAGGCTTTTGATTCACACTACTTATGTACCCCCAGTTAAGTAATTTTGTGTGGTGTTGCCCCAGCAGTCTCCTTATGTGCTGCTTTCACTGACAGAAGTGGGCAGTACCAGCAGTACCAAAGTACTATACGTAAGCATCTGAAGAACGAAAAGAAGCATGCATAATTTTGGATCAAAAAATATAAGCACTATCAACATTATTCTGAGCTGCTACCAGTAAAATGAAAAACTTTGTTAATTTGTAATATACTGATAAAACATTTGCCATATGGTTGTTCAGACACCTCAGTTCTCAATTTAGTTATGCGATAAAATAAGTCTTATTGTCTTCTGTAACTGCAGTGTACAATAGCCAAGACAAACAAAAATAGCAATCATCTCCTTGGCATTAAGTAGATTTGATACTTCCTGGAAAAAAAAAATCATTTTTGCATTCAACTGGGAGAGGCAAATTACTTGTAGAAATTCTTATTATTATGCCTTTTCATATAGAATTGGCATTAAAAATAATGAATTATTCTTCCTGTAGCACTTGATAATGAACAGTTAAAAACTTTGTGGACAGACCCTTAAGAGCAAAGAAGACACAAAGCTGGCTAAATATTCAAAGGCTTCATGTAAATGAATGAAAAAATTTCACAAAGCAAATCCAACACCACAGTTCTCTCCCTCCAACCTCCCTAGTTCTCTGGGATAGTCTAAGGCTCAGGTATGAATCAAGTAATCATAATGCTAGCCTGTGTTATCTGGGGGTTGTACTGGGCCTGTGCACTCACAGAACTGAGGAAGGACATTACAGTACGCGGCTAGTGTTTCTCTTACTGGATGGACAGTTGCAGGAGATGACTAAGGTAGCCTAAGGAAAAGAAAAAAAGTGAATTAAGCTAGTACAGATCAGAACGACTTGTGGTTACAAAATCATTTAGGGAGGGTAGAAGGGAGCAGAGAAGGTGGAAGGTCTCTTTAGAAGTCTGACGTTATTCAAAAGTTACATTTCCATTTCTCATTTCCCTTCTGGGTCTTCACAGCACTTATCAAGGTCAAAAATGCTGCACCAAAAATGCTTGCCATCAACATGTAAGAACCAAGTGTGCAGCCAACTTCCCTTATGATTCAGGGTTATGTACTGTTAGAGTCAACAGAGTTACTTCACAGCAACTATGGAAAAGTAAAACCAAAGCCACAAAGGTGCCAAACTAGATTCAAACCATCTCATTTAATCAGCTAATTAAGGCACTGAATTGGTTACAAGTAAGTATCTGGTCTGTCAAAGCAATTGTAGTTATTAAGGGCCCTGTGTAGTCACGTCAGAGAACCAGGCACTGCTGAACAAGGAAGTATCTGGTCTGTCAAAGCAATTGTAGTTATTAAGGGCCCTGTGTAGTCACGTCAGAGAACCAGGCACTGCTGAAGTATGATTTCAAGTTAGTGAGCTAGTACCCTTTAACTTTCAGCTGCTGCTGAAGCAACCCTTGGGGTCTCTAATAGTTGTGTGTGCCTACACGTAGCCATTTGCTACCAGCATGTAAAGCCAAAGCCAGCCCATACGGGCTATATGAGGTATGGGGCCAGCTAAGCAACAGGAGCACGACATCTGAGTCCAGCGGACCAGAAAGCAGGACACATGTAGAAGATACCCCTTCCCAGCTTTGCTTGTATAGCAGAATGAGTGAGCATGGCTGGGAAGCCCAGAGCATCCCCCATCCCACCTTGCAACTGTCTATGTGTTTGCTTTTTTGTTGTTGTTGTTGTTTGTTTGTTTTCTTTTTTTCCTTCCTTTTTATTCTAATTCTAAAGTAGGCTGAGTTAAAAGAGGGAAAAAAATGCAAAGTGCAAAAGCTACTAAATGTAAAGCACGGAGTCTATCAGTTGCAGTGATAAAATGCCACAAAAAAATGAACAGGATTCCACTAGAGCAATGCAGAAGATAAAATTACGATACTTGCATTTTGTTTGCCTGAACAGTAATTTAGCATATAATGTTTTACGCTATATTCTTCTGTTGAGAAACCAGGTACAGAAGCACTGCTACCACCCAGCTGATGGGAACTGCATAAGGAAATCAGAAACTAAACAAATAAATGAAAAGCAAACAAACATCTCTTAAGTGGATAAGTAGGACATGCTGCTAGTGGGACAGAATACAAGAAGGAAATTGCCTTAGCTAATTTTGGTTTCAAATTGTGAAGTATTCATAAGGGGGAGAAATAAGTAAACATTTTTAGATTGGTGCTTGGAACTAATGTTTATAGATAATACCTCAGAATGCCAGTGAAGACAAAAACAGGGTATAGTTAGCTTAAATAACATACAGAAGTCTTAGTGATCTTGATGATAACATAGATGGAATGAAGATGGTGCATGAATGAATTGCTGAATAGAGAGGAGGAGTAGTGGTAGTGTCTAGAGTCCTCCTGTTTTGCAGAGGCATTCAACTTTTAATCCTCTTTTGTTAACATCAGAAGATGAAAAAGGCTAACATCCAGTAACCCATATTTTATTGAGGTTATAAATATTATGAAGCATTTTCCCTTGTTTTGTAGTAATTATGTCTAAACTGGCATCTACAAACTGGCTTTATTTTTATGGACAACAGGACAGACTAAGCAGCTAATGTTCAAAAAAATAAAAATAAAAGAAATGCACATTAATCCTGGAGAAAAAAAAAGGCCTATGGATTATATTACATTTTGATTGTTTTTTACATTATGGGTGCTTTGATGTGTGGTAAACAAATAATTTAGAAAAAAATGTAGGTGTAGCCTCCAAACCAGGAATGCTGTCAACTGAAAGCATTTAAGACTGTTCTTCTAATTTTGACATGAGTATTTAAACAAATGGCATCTCGGTAAAATCACTGTCAAAAGCAAGATCTGCTTGCAGGCACAAGATTCAAAATACATAATTGACAGGGCAAGCAGTATATTGTTATTCTGTTAATGCTACTTAAGATTTCTTAAGCTGAAACTTTATTTTCTTACCAGTTTTTTAATGTATTACTGATAAAACATTACTTTGCTGTTGGATCACTTAAATAATTACATTTGAATTATGAAAATATTTTTTCTCACATCCTTAGGTTCCTGAAAACATTACATTTTAGTTAAAATTCTACCAGAATCAAAGCAGCTAAAAGCTTTTCCTATTTAAATGAACAGTTGAAGAAGTTTGAAGGCAATGATTTTCCGTACTCTTTTGATAGTAATATTCATGTACTTTAGCAACACAGATAGTTATGTAGTACAAAATGTTTTTCTCGGCAGATCTGAAGTAAAATTCAGGAAATGTCACCAAGCAGTAAAGCATTTAATGTCTTTAAGGAAGTGATTAGCTTTTTCTCTGCTGTAGGACTTCACTTTCTCCCACAGTTGCTTGAAAGTCATCAAGTTTGTGGATTCCCTTTTAACCACTCTATTTACAGATGGATTCTAGTTTGAAATGGTCTTGAGGAGTCTCAAAAAGGTGATTATAAACTCGGTTTCAACATTTTTATGGTCATAGAAATTATTTAAGTTTGTCCAGATTTTGGATAATTAGGGGCAAATAAACTTGACTTTCCCTTTTCAATATGATACTACATATGATCACATGTTCAAGACAAATGCCATGATGGGAAAATGAGCATGCATCGATAACTATTTCCACATTCACTAGAATTTATAATGGCTGATGTAGGATAAAACAAGAGACTAAAAGGAAGACTTTGTGTAATCATTGTAAGAATAGTGTAATAAAAACCTTGCTCCTGAAAGCTTCAATTGTTTCAACAATGTGTAGCAAACATATTTGGTTATACAAAGCAAAAGCACAACTAAGTTATCAACTTTACACAAAGTCAGATATCTGAAAGGGGATCTTTTAAAAAAAAACTTTATTTGAGAAAGGAAGAGACTTATATCAGAAGGCAAAAAAAGGGAACATACAAACAGAATATATTTACAACACAAAACAAGAGATCACCTCTAAAGGTGTAAATTATAATAAATACAGTAGATTTAAAATGTTAGAGACAATTATCAATTAGAAATCTCTGTTTTTTTAAACCCAGTTTTCCTTTTCACTGGTTCCAGGTAGTTTCTCTATTTTAATTTTATCCAAATTTGAAAGATTCTGAAATTAAAGCCCACTAATGTATTGTGGTTTCTCACCTGAATGACATTATAAAAATATCTTCTGTCCTTTGTGAATACATGTTTTTGAAATGATATTGTACAAAAATCTTCTCATTGCAAGTTTCTCCCCAAATAAAATGTATTTTAAAAGATGCACTATCCCTTTTGATGAAGCCGAAGTTAGGTTTCAAAGAAAATTAAAACTTTATGGAATGGGAAAAACATAAAATTTCATTTTTATATACTTCACTTTTTGAATGTGAATGTGATTTTTCATCCAAGACGGTGAAAGATTTATGTTCAAATATAAAGCACAAATAAAAATAACCTATATTTTGTCAATTAATTAATATATCATTCCTATCTAAGATGATCTTTATGGTTTGGGAGGCCTTTCATTATATAGCAGCTATTTAGTCGTTTGTTTGGAGATCTTCTAGGAAAAAGGATAATGTATCTTTATAAGTTGCAACATTTTGTAAGAGATTTAATAGTATTAGAGCATAATGTAAACAACACATGCTAATAACATTTCAGAACAATTTCTACATTTGGCAAAACAGCTATCTCTTTTGAAACAGGATACTGCACCTTAAAATACCTTAGCTTTAGAAATATAAATATTTTTAATAGAAAAAAAACTGACAAGGATTCCAGGTCAGTTTGGGATTATCCATATTAAAGGGGATCTTAATACAATGAATCTTTAACTAGCTTAACAAAAGTAAACCTATAAAACAAGGTAAACATATCAAAAGGGAATATGAAGGAAATGTTTCACTGGAAAGCTTCCTTAACAATTTCCCTACTCGCTTTGTTATTTTCTTTGACAATAAATCAATTCATAGAGCGCCTTTAAAAACAGAGAGAACACTACCCCGTTTCCCCCTGCCTTACATTCCTCAGCACATGAATCACTTGGGCTTCCTGTTTCCATAAGGCATTTCCTGCTCCCCCTCTCAGAATCACTTTTCTGCAGGAGAACAGCAGGGACCTGACAAAGTCTTGACTTAAATAAACAGTGCCTGCCATTGCATCCAGCACTGCTCCGTCTGATTTTATAGCAACAAAAGGGACACCAGCTCTCTGAAAGCACAGACTGCACAAATGTGCTTTGCTCTTCAGCGTTTGTAAAATACTGTCATAATTTGAAGTTTCCTCCTGCTGAGTTGGCATTTTTACACTGACCTTATTTTAGGATTTGTCCTTAAGACCTAATAATAAAGTTAATGCCATATTGTATGATTAGTCTTTATTTAAAAAAATAAACAAGTGATTGGATATCAGACAATAATGATAACAGTTCTGTGCTTTTCCTGCAATACCGTAGTATCTGATTGAAACCCAATGCTGTGTTTTCCTTCTTGACAGTATTTGCATCTGCTTCATTTAAGAATGTCTCTGCAGACAGTATCATCAAATACAACAAAATGAAAAATTAGGCAGTGCAAAAACTGGAAACAATGCAATATTTAAACAGTGCCTTGCCTGGCATCTTTACATCCTTCTTGTGCACTTCTCTAACTTACAATTTGTACTCCAGCCTGGGACCGCTTATATAGCAGTCAGTACCTGTCTACTGGGGGAAAAAATACCCTATTGTTAACAGTGTTCAAGACTACATTATGATACATTATATACAGATAGCTGAAAGCAAAAGTCAGAGGATTCAAAATCAGAGAAGAATGTTTCATCAATCAGGTCTGGAAACTAATTCCAGCAGTAGCTGATCTCAACAAGCTAGGTGATAACGAGTTCTCTTGCACTAAGAGTAATGTAATCCTGGGTTAATACAAATTCTATCGTCTATTATGCAGTTATGTAGAGCAATTGACTGCAACAGGTATTTTCTCCATTAGTGGCCATAAGGATGAGCTCCACTATGTCTTTAAATGTGCATACAACACCTCTTCCTTTGTTAAATTATTTGAATGGTAAATCAGGATTTGCTAGATCAGTGAATCAAAACACAATCGCTTATCAATGGCTAAAAAAATGCACATGATGTTCAGATAATAACCTTAATTACAAATCCTGGAGCTAAATCTTTGCCTATTACCTGTTGCATAAAAGCAGCTTGCTCCCCAGATTCCATTTGCTGGGTTTGAATATCCTCATCACTGTCCGGTGGCTCCTCTTTGACCTTCACAGCCCCAACCTGCTGTCCTATTCTGTCATCCACACCAGCACTGCTGCTCTCAGCCCTAATGCCGGCACCGCTAGCGGCAGCTCGCTCCTCCTGCATCGAGTGGTCTCCATGAAGCTCTTCTTCAGCTTCCTCCAGGTGACTGCCAGGCTGCTTTAGCTGCTCAATGGACTTAGAGAGCATCTGGAAAGAGAAGGAGGGGGAATGGTTACTGACTCTTTTTACCGATGCCAAACACTGGGAATCACCTGATTTGCACCAACAAAATTACAGCTTCTGCAACAACGATGCATCACTAAAACATTAATTTACAGGTGAAAAAAAGAACCAACATTCCTAAGTGAAAGGTCACTTGTTATTCTGCAGTTGAAAATATCATTTATGTAACGAGTGCTATACGGTAATGCTAACTAAAAATAAGGCGGACTAATTAAAACATTACTACATGTCTGTTGCATTGTTGCAGCTGGTAATCAAAAGCAATTAGTCTCCCTTCATACTTTTTCTGAAACAAAAAATTGGTAAATTTATATAAATACATATTACAGTTAATTTTTCCCAACATAAAATAATAAAGGAACTCTTTAAGAGAGAAGAAAATTAGTATCTTGGTTAATATTTTGCTACAAGCAAATTAAGGAATGCTCACAGTGGCTTCTCTATCAATTGCTGCATGAAGATCCACACAGGAGCAGTGACAAACAGATGGTGTCAGTCACCTCTCCTTTGGCACAGGGAGGCAACAAGGATGCCTGTCCCTGACTGGAAGGACTGCAGCTTTTGTCATGTATGGTACAGGTGTCCTTGTTTCAGCAGTGACAATATACCACAGCTACCCAGGCAATACTGTTTTTACACCATTAACTGCTACTGTAAAGCTTTACTGAAATGTCAGATGCCTGAGTGTCATAACCAAATATAGTTTATTCTTTATGCTTTCTTGTTTAAGATGTCACAAATATATTCCAAAAAAAAAAATCCAAATGTAATCCAAAAGCCAAACTGGAAATAATAATAAAATAATAATAATAATAATAATAATAAATAATAAAGAAGCCTCGTTGGAAGAGGCATAAATCAGACAGATAAGTAAGTATCTGCATGACCAAATGAGTAATTACCATTTATTCAGCTGGCCCACTTGATTTTACGCAAATACTGATTTGTATCACCAAGGCCAAATATACTTAGAAGAACAAAACACTTTACCTTCCTCCCTTCTCCCATCTGTCTGCCCCTTCCACAGATATCAAGTCTTTCAAACTGAGTTTTTGCTGGGTTTATATGCTGAGTTACTGTATGGCTTCAGTACAGATATTTTGTTACAATTGACCCTGGTCTAGTTCTTTCATTCTGCTCACTTACTGCATATAGAAGAATGTCACCCCAGGGAAGGGCAGCATTGTCATGTGAACTATGATCAAGAAGCTACAGCTGGACTCAAGAAACTCACACAAAGTTAGCAATGATACCTGAACGATTTGTTTTTGCTGTCCCAGTGATGCTCTGACACATACACCTCACATCAATGGAGAAAAAAAATCCACAGTGGAAGTCTACAGGCTGTAATCACAGCAAACCTTCATTTTTATTTTTTTGGGTGGGGTGGGGGTAACGGGAACATAATGGTTTACTAAAAAGAAAGAAACAAAAATCCCTTTTCATTGCTCTGGAAACAGCAAAATCACAACACATGTATCCCTCATGCTGCAGGTGGCATGCTCTGAGCTGAGGAGTTTTCATTACTGCAACTAATGCAAAGTTTCTCCTTTTATTAAGAAGAATCTTGACAATTTATAAGATGAAACCCATAAATCTTTTCCAGTTGTTTGCTGGGGGATGACACCAACCAGGAAGGCACTGAAGCTCACTGCATATATTCAGATTGGGTATACTACTCCATTGCTTACTTAAACATCTGCATGTGATCCCTGTCCATTCCTCAAGCAAAAAGAAAAAGGGAAGGCTGGCTGGCCAGTAAGCAAGTACAAGCTGAAACATCTGTGCGACAGATAATCACATACAGCCAGGAGAGTCACTAGTGCTGATCCATCTGTAAAGCATCCCATGTGCCAGTTACTTGACATCACGTGGGTTATTCTCGATGGAAAGCCAACAGAAAAGGACTGCATGCTCACAGTGAAGTTAAGACATATTTAGCTCATTACTGTTATCCTTTTATTTTTATTTATTTTTTCACTTTAATGTCAGGCTCTTCTTCATGCTGCTGTATGGCACAGATCTTCAGTGCTGCTGAGCTTTCTGATGTAACACATGATGACCTGCAGTATATAATCTATATGTGGAACACTGCAAATGCTTTTTGCATGCAATCAGCAGGGAGATACAAGCACATACAAGGGAACTGTGAAGAATCGTGTGGTATTTGCATGCATTTCAATTTGCAGTGTGCCTGTCTTGGCACCTGCTCCCACACCATGGAAGTCAGGAGGAGATTTGCTCCAGACTATGGTGACAGGAGGAGCTAAACAAATCTTTTAAAACTCAGTGGAATTGTTTTGTTGTTGGTGGGTTTTTTTCCCTCTTTTTTTTTTTTTTTTTTACAATAAAATTTACAAAGTACATAAATATTGTCATCTTTCATGCAAAGTCTTATTAAAAGCATCCTTTACATTGTGACTTGGTGGCAGAATTGAGAACGAAACTAAGCCATAGGTAAGGAAGCACTGGAATCATGTCCTCTCACATGACTGAGCCTGACAAAATGGGTGGACCACGTTGGGGGCAAAACCTGAAGAAACGCTCCTGCTGCTCAGTCTGCTAAGCCATATCACCACCATGCTTTCACAGTTGTTAATGTGGTTTTTAAAGACAGCCCCATCTTATCCTAGTAATTACATTAATATCGTTATCAGGAGACTGTTCAATTCTCCTAAGTCAGAAACATCTTCTTTTATACCATATAATACTATGTATACTCCTAGCACTACTGCAGAAAATTACATATCTGGAGACATGAAAAGATAACAATTTAGGATCAATATTTCTATCTTACATCTCTGCCTAAAGCAGAGAGTAAACCCTGAATGGAACACTGCTCAAGTTCTTTCACAATGCAGCTGGATCCTTCTGCTTACACTTAACATTTAAATCTTTCTCTTTAAATCTCCACTCACATTTATTTTTTATTTTTTTCATTCTGAATTTATCTGTAGATACATGAAGATCTTTTTCCTGGTTTTAATGTACATTTTTTCATTCTGAGAATGTGATTGCTTAATCTGAGCTTTAGTAAGACTATGTTTAAAAATAATAACTAAAGAGTGGTTTATATTTAATGAATAAATTAGTTGTACATATTGTTCTTCTTGAAGCAATACACATTCTTGTAATTGGTATTCCAAGTAAAAGAGTTACTCAAAAAATGGCTTCTTTCTAATGTAACCTATATTTTTTCCCCTTTTATTTTCAGGAAATTAAACTGTAAGGGATATTCATGTGCCAAAGTAAATAGTGGCAGCAGGAGAGGAAGCATTTACAGACATCAGCTCCATTGTATAACTGCAAGAGTCCAAAAAAAGACATCAAAAACAATCAAACTTTCTTGGCTGTACTGAAAAATGGAAGACAAAGCACAAATAATCTGGACACTGCAACAACCACTTTACAGGGCCTTTAGTTGCAGCCACTTTCTTTGTCTCCTCTGTAATAACAAGCTCTTGTAAAATGGAATATTTTAAATAAAATGTGTTTACAAAGAGACAAAGCACAAAATTCTGATGCACCCACCACATACATGTCTTTCATTGATTAATTGTTCTTTTTAAATAAATGGCTGTCGTTTCTAGGAACTCATTTACATACTTATGGAAAACACTTTTTCTCCTTCTGTGCTGTAGCTATCAGATTACATTGACCAGCTATGTAAGCTGTTAGGCATACTAAAATGACTTGGCACCTGCTTACTGTTTTGTTACCCATGCAGTACATTCCTAAGGGATGCATTTAAACCTTCAAGATCATTTTTCTGAATTATGTCTTAAACATTAGTTCTCAAGAAAGGAGAAAATTCTCTGGGCATTTCTAATTGTTGCTGCAGTCTTGTCCACATAATCCCCCACTATAAGCAATATTTGAAAGAAGAGGCGTGCTACCTCTCTCACTTTCAGAAGATTCTAGTCAGAAAGGTAAGATGGAAAGCCAAATCTTAAGTTATAATCTATTTAATGAAACTAATGAAACTAATTTATTCAAGTTGAATCTGATCAAAACAGTCTTTCTTATTTCATTAAGTATCAGATGAGTGAATGATGAATCTGTGGTTAACTGTCTCTTTTCAATATTCCTATTGATGATAAATAATCTTAATTTTTCTGTTAACTAATCAATAGAAACCTCCGTATTATTTTTCATTTTTTATTAACAGACATTGGTCAGTTATGCTAACCTTCTAAAGCACTATTGACCTTTAACTTATAAATTTTTTATCATCTGCTTTTTACTTCACAGTCTTGCCCAGTCACTGTTTATACAAAGATGCTTTAAACCTGTTAATACCCTGGAATGAAAACTGAAATTCAGGCACTCCTTATTTAACCTTTAACATTGTCCATACTGCTTCTGCACTTTAGTGCACATTGAAAACTGGCCCACTATTTTAACTTTCATTACTCCAATATAAAGGAGGACTCTACCATTGACAAATAATTGTGTATAGTCAAAATGCTATCACCACATTTTTTAAAGAACACTTGTGGAGTTCATTTGAAGTGGATGAAGTTAATTCACTGATCAAATGAAATCTTGGTCCCAGTGAAGACAGTGTTAGTTTAGCTTTAGCAGGGGCAGGATTTTATCCATAATACACAGTTGGTTTTCTTTTTTTTTTAAAAAAAAAAAAAAACAACAACAAAGAAAACAAAAAGAGAACAAAAAAGAAAAAACAACCCCAAATCCCACCTTTTAAAGGTAGAGGGCTTTGTTCACATGCTGTTTACATTAAAATTTCTGATTTTCTAGAACTCAGACTTACTCTATTGGTTTTGCACTTGTGTTATCTCAAAATCTTTTTTTTTTTTTTCCTGCAAGTGGCAGCATAAAAGCTTTTTAGATACAGATATGCATAAATAAAAACAAGATTTTAGGATTTTTATTGTAGTAGCAGTTTTTCAGTACTCAACTGCAATAATTTTAGCTGGAAGTTTCAGACTTTGGACTCCCTTTATTGAGCAGAATGAAGTTCTACAATAGTGATCAAAGGGCCTTATGAGGAAATAAGCTGTCAGTTGAACTGAAGTGTATTAAAGCTGACAACAGCAAAGTCGAGCTTCCCAAAGACAAGAGGAGTTCAGGTTACTGCACATTCATTATCATTTTTTCTCCAGAAAGCTGGGACGAGCGTTTCTACCTATTTTTGGATGTGATGTCGACTTTTGCAGCATGTTTTTAGAAGGTCAGCATACTAGATCCCGCAGGTATAAATGTCAGGCTTCAGTGCAGACGTATACCATTTCCCACATCAAAAGCCTGGCATATGACAGCTGACCAGAAATAATCCATAGGGGATCTTCTCTTTGTTATTAAGGACAGAGGCACACCTCTTGGCAATGATTTGTTTCTTTTCAGAATGGAAATGATCCAGGGGAATTCTTTACCTCTGACCTATGTCAGATTTTGCTTGTTATCACCCTCACAACAACACAGGCTTGAAGCACTTGCTGCTGAAGTATATTCTTTTATCAAAGAAAAGAAATCACTTTTTAACACAAGATAAATAAAAGATCTATGGGGTGGGGAGAAACTGTTGCTTTCTTCCTCTTTTTGCTGTTATAGCAAGATTTGCCTATTTGTCCACCAAGAAGATCTGACCAAAATCACTTTTCAGGGATTGCTGACACATGCCATATCATCCCATTTCAAGGCAAAAATTCAAATAGCTGGTTCAGTTGCAATATATGACAGCCTTAAGTACTTACAGAGTCCTAAACATAAGGGGGAAAAGGAAAAAGAAATGGAAATTAAATAGAATGTATTAACTTGTTCTAAACTCTTGATCAATTGGGATTTCATAGTCCTGTCAGCTTAAAATGGTTCTCATCTTTCTAACCAATTTTTTTTAAGAGAATGTTTGAGTACTCCTAATTAAAACATTTTTTCAAGACTGAAAAGGAGGGAATTACATATCTGTGCAGATATGTGTTTCATTATATGGCCTATGTTCAGAACAGTGAGGAAAGAGGAGTGGAAAATAAATACATGTATTCACCTGATACATGCTCAGACTTGTCCTAAGAAACGCAAAGATGTCTTTGCTACATGGTGTAGAACATCTCATTCTACGGTTCAGGTAAACCTCTTTTGCAGCGTTTAAGTTTGATTGTAAAAGCCACACAAAGCTGTTAGCTTAAATAACGAACAAAAAACTGCAAATAAAGGTAAGGTAAGGTAAGAACAAAGTATATCCCATCCTGCTGGTGGAGTTAAAAAACCTTATGCCAGCACAGATGTTCAATCCAAACCTTTAAATTTAAAGGGTTAAAAAATATAATTTTAAATTCAGTACTTAACAGCCACTCCCTCATTTGATCATTTCTCACTTCCTTCAATAATGGCTACCATTAAATGCCAGTTTTTAAAAATCACATTTATTCTGTTAATTACATAAGAGAACACCTGGCTTTCCATATACTTGCAGAAGACAGATGTATGATTGGAGCACGGTCATTTTCAGTGGTATTCATCAGAACGGTTCTTCTGGGAATAGTATGGTAAAAAAACCTCTTCACTACAGACAGTAAAAAAAAGTCTGATAAACCACCCACATCCTCACATAATCCACTGCTTCTGTGGATGCAGCATGATCCTATCCCTCCTTAGGTGTCTGCTGCTCTGATGAGTTACTGTGCTCCTGATGAAAGCTAGCTGCTTGGGGAGTAGAGATAAGGGAGACTGAGCTATCTGGGCAAAGGAAGTAAGCTAAAGACCCTGGGATAAAGATAAATTTCTACTACCTACATTCGCATATAGCCTATACTGTAGAGAATAAAAGCTAGGTTCATTAAGTTTTAAGAGAAGCAATTGTTTTGTCTGTAAGTCCCAGTGCATATCCCCAAATGCTATGGCAGAATGTATGCAAATAAGTGTGACCTAACACAAACATGTCAATGTGGTTCTTTGCTTTGTGAAGAATGCATGAACAGTAACTGATCAGTTTGCAGTGGATACCCACAAACAGCATAAAGACTCAGTACTTTACTAGTAAAGATTCTTTTCAAACAGTTGAGGGCAGGTGAAATATTTTCAAAACCTGAGGCTACAAGATATGCCATCTTGATTAAACATATGGAATGCATACTCAAAGAAAAGCCAACTGGAGTCCTAGTTGAGTAATCAAAACACCCAAGCTGAGAGGGGTTAACATGCAAGGATCAGCTCTGAACTTTGAAGTTTTCTGGTCTTCATTTTTTCTAATTAAGACAAGATTTAATAACCAAACCACTGTACAAACTATGTACTTAAACTCTAGGTTTGTTTCTAATTTTGTTGGGAATTCTTAGTAGATTCCAAAGAATCAGTACCTCCTGGGAAGTTCACCCTTGTAAGATGGACTGACTTTTTTTTTCTTTTCACATAGGTACAAAGACCAAATACCCTGCTTTTCATCTTTTCTTCTTTGCCATTAGCTCTTCTATATAGTTATCACATAACTTAAACAAAACAAGAGAAGTAAAGATGTGTGATATTTGAATTATTCAAGGAGCTCCAACAAACAACTTTTGGAAGGCTATGCAGTAAGTGAAGAAAAATGTTCTTCAGATAAAAGCATTTAATTACTTGAATATCTTCATTTTAGAGCAGGGAACGGCATCACATTTGTTGTAGAAGCATTAGCCCCTGATAAATCTACCTAGATATTGCTGTACTTTGTTTATTAGTGAATGGTCCCTTTTCTTCTTTCTTTCTCCTCAGAAAAATGTGTTACTATACAGGGAAACAGGGACACAGTTCAACTTGTATCTGATATTAGTAATAGCAAATTCTTCTCTTTCTCCTTCACTGGCATTTTTTTTTATCATATAGCTAACAAACCATTATGTTATTCATGAATTTACATTGAAGAAGCTGATTTGATAAAAGATGATTACAAATTTATTCAGATTGTCAATACATTTCTAACACAAAAAAGATCAATTTCATCAGCTGGTTGACTTTAAATGAGTTATATATTTATTCCACATAATATTCCACAACAAATGAACTTAAAATATGATTCAAAGGCAGCTGAACTGAATGATTTCTGAAACTGGAAATGACAAATAATAAAAAAGCTGGATAGACAGCCAGTAATTTTTATGGCATAATTTACCATTTGGCAGAAAAGCATCTGTAAATAAACCTGAAAGATGCTTTGATACCTATTTCATTGAACTGTATTCTTATTGGTGTCAACAAGCATATCAAAAGCTGAAAATGAAGACCTATATAAACATACACTAACTATGCATAAGCAAGGTAATCCTGCAAGAACCTGTCTATTCTCATCTACCACATGGCACTGGCATCTATTATGTTCCTTATTAGTTTTCAACATTCATGTTCATTAGAAATTCCTTACTTTGGGAACTCACCTTATTCATGTGGATCTGTTGCTGGTACTGTTTCTGCTTCTCCAAAAACTGTTGATGTTGCTGCTGGATGACCAGCTGGGCCAAAGTACTTTGAGGAAGAGGAGCTGACTGGGTTCGATTCAGTGGCCTGTGACGAGGCAGTTTGTGGGCAGCTCTTATGCCGGGTGAGACTCTTTCCTTCGCTGCTAAAGGAGACTGTGGATGAAGAGGAACTGCTCCTGCAAAAGAGTGACATTTCACTCCAGTGTAAAGAAAAACAAACTACTGGTTCTAATAGAAGAGAAATCTCTCAGTAAGAAGAGTGGTGTATGTTGCAGAACTTAGCATTAGCACTGATGCAGTGGGACGTGTACCACATGCCTAGCCATGCTGGGAAATTCAGCAGCTGCAAAAGAATGTGATGAAGTAATCATTTTCTCTTTTCTGTAATCACAGAATTCTTTCAGGCTAACGAACTCAAGCAGAATCACTAACGTGGGAAAAAAATAATCTATGCTTTTCTCTCCCACCCTTCTACTTTTCACAACAGTCAGAATACAAATGTCATTAAAAATATCTAAAATGATTGTTGTGTTGAAGCTTTGATCATTACCAGTCACAAGAAGTTTTTGCTGTCTCATTTGTTCTTTCAGTAACAGATGTTGCAAGAGAGCCTGGTGGCTGCTATTTGGCTTTCCCTCCAAAGCAACATGAGGATGAGCTGAAGAAGGAGGAATGCTCCCCCCATACTGTCCAGCCAAGGCCACTCCTTGTCTGAGCGTCTGGGTCTCTCCCTTCTGCTTTTCTTTGAATGATGATGAAGCCTGTCAAAAAACAATGACACTCGTAACTGTTTTTCATTCACCTGGCCATTTTCTGGCTATTTCCACTTGTCTTACGGTATGTTTTCTAAATGCAGAAAAAGTAGTTAAAATCCCTCTCTTACACGTTGATTCTGAGATGAAAAGGGAGGGGGAAGAAGCCTGTTAAATGTAGCACTGCAAGAAACTAAATAACTAAAGCACTTGGAAAAATTCGGTAATAAAAGCCAAAGCACAAGGAACTACTAGTCAGAACATTATTAATGAAAAGACGGGACCTATCCTTAAAATTCCTAAAGGCCTTTCCCAGCCTCGTGCAGAGGAAAAAAGGGAATCAGAGGAAATAGTTTCCACTGAGCTTGGAATAGGCAAGGCTTGGTTTTCACATAACTTTCCATCAGACAGCAAGCCAATCAGCAAAACAAAATAATTACCTGTAGTAGTGGTAAGCTATTACTTTTCCTGGAGCATTCCCTGACTCCCTGAAGGACAGCTCAAAACTTTTACCATTTGCAAAGTAAATGTGTACAGTTAAACTCTGGTCTACTGAATTATCAAGAGCTGTTGTGTGTGTGTGGCCTTTTAAAGTACCCTTATAAATTGCACAGTTATTGATTTCAAGCTTTTTGTAAACTTTGGCCATTCAGGATTGCAAATATACTTTAGATTTCTTTGTTCCTAATAAAAATCTAGTTTTAACAAAATGTATTTCAAGGGTAGTCAAGCTTGAGTAGTAATTTTTACAGTTAGAATAATTAACAGAAATAAGTGTGTTGAGGCTTGCTCACTTATGGTATGTCACGGTAAAAAAACATCTCTCTGATAATCTGAATTTCGCATATTGTAACAAGGCAAACCAAAGTTTACACAAATTTTTGGGGGGTGTATGCTTACTTTACCCTCTCTCATTATCCTTCCCTGAAAAACAAACACCTAAATAAACTTTACATTCAATTTGCAACTACTTAGTCTGGTAACAGACATAAACAATACATGCATAAATTAACCCCTTTATTTTTTCAAATGCCAAAAGTAATATTTGGTGCAAGCTGGTAACATCAAAAGTTCTCATCATTTGAGTGAGAAAATTAAAGATGTTTTCATTTCCTTTTTCAACGTTATAAAATTTATTTGAAGCTAGTTATATTTATGTGAAATAGCTAGGAAATTTTTGATGATATAGTCTGGAAAAGTAAGCACTACTTTTCATGTTCAGGTCAAGTTTTCCATCCCTTAAAAACAATAACTTGCTTATAAATATTTCATGAAAGACTTTAAGAGCAGTGATTTAAAGCTTGCACAATTTTACACACAAAGTTCTATCTAACGTTAAAATGTTGGACTGCAATGATATGCTATTGGTGAGACATGAAATGAAATGTAAAAGCCATAAAATGACATGAAACTTTAACCTGCAACTAAGTTTAGCACTGGAATTAAGTAGTACTTCTAATAAACCATAGTAGACTGTACATATATATGCTTTTTATATTCTGGAAATCTAGAATATTTCTATTTTACCAATTCATGTTCTGTCAAATATGAATTGCTAAAATTTCTTCAGAATTTATACAGTGTTGTATAGAACCATAATATAATTATATTAGAATTTTTACATTTTTACAGGAAATCAGGAAGGAAAAGTTTTGACCGGTAGCAAAGTTTTCAGTTATTTTACTGAGTCTCAGATTTCACTTACAGATTACTGTAACTTTGGCTAGATCTAAAGATCTTTATCCATCAACATGGATTTCCATACATATTGTATCTGTTTTCTTATACATTTCACATACTAATTTAACATTGAGCTCTAAATAAAGTTGATTGCTACAGACTGAACAAAGGGCATATGAATATAACTAGTCATTAAATGTTGTTTATATATCCACAGATTTAATTTATATGATTGATAGTACACCCCTTATAAAACAAACCCACTTGCAGGAATACAGGATTCTTCCACTACCACGCTTCAGCCCAGCTTATGTTCCTGTTAGCATCTCATTATAAAAAGTTACAGGTGCTGTACTTTACCAGGTAGGAGTGATCATATAATTTGAACATTTATACTAAATTGTCTCCTCATGTTTTTCTCACCATGTCTGAAATCTGTTACCAGATTTGCAGATATAAATGCAATATATATGGCCTATATTTAGCTAAGCTCCACACTGGCACTTACTTGTGATTAAGAATGACTACTGCTTTCAAGTTGTGCCCTTAAATTTTCAGAAGTTGCCCAATGCAAAGAAAGGTCTGTCTCCTACTATCAATTGCTTATGTTCCAAAATGCTAAAAAAGAGAATAGGCAGAAAGTAGGCTTTCTGGGAGCAAAAGTAGACAGTAAGGCTTTGGACTGGTCACTTACAGTGATTTGAGTTTGTACTGCTGGAAGTCCCAAGGTAATGTTGGGCAGAGAAGGGGACGTGTACAGACTCAACAAGTTCACTGATTCATCCTGAATCAAAAGGCGTTGCTGTGAAACCAGATGCTGGAATAAAGAGAAAAAAACAAAGTATGTATAATCTCGAGGCTTTTTATCTTGGCTATTTTATTCTGATTGTGCATTGATAGTCAGTTATGTATCATGCATTGGTTTGCATCCCAATGGGGTTCCAGATAAGTACTGTCCCTGTAAAAAAGCTATTGATATTTCCTTCCTTAGGAAAACAACTGAAATACATCTGGGATTATGCCTTGGTTAGTAAATCAAATTCCTACTCCATCCCAGAATCTTGAGGATTCTTAGACCTTCTCTTCTCTTGTCAACTGCACTCTCAGTATTAGAAATTCAGTGAATTTCGCTATCAGAAATTCATTGGCTAAATTCAGAAATTTAGCCAAATGAATTAATGTCTTTATCTAGCCAAACCAAAGGTGTCATGATTATGGATGTATTAGATGTCTACATTGCTATGGTTCTTAAAGTTTTGTGGTAAGGTATGAAACATATCCTACCTGGTTTATGTGTTAATTTACCCATATTGTGATATGAGGATGTTTCAGGCGCATTATTTACTTCCATTGACATGGGAATCTTGGGTAGAAAGTGAGCCACATTGTCACATCTGATGTTTAAAAAAATATACTCTCTCTCTGCATATACACAAGAACAGTGTCCCATCATTCTCTGATGATGATGATGATGGTGAACCCTCTCACAGCCTTTCTAACTCCTTTAAAGTTAAAATCTTTAACACTTGCTTTGAATCCTTGTGATATAATTTTCAAGGATGTGGAATTGCTGATATATTTTTAATTACTGTCAAGTAAAAACAGACATTCTACAAAGATCACCCTCTGTCTTTCCATTTTGGATTCATTGGGAAGAAACATAAAAAGTTGCATTACCGCAACAGGAATCTTTTTGATGCCTTTGCCTTTTTACTTTAACAGTCATGTTTTTCAACATGTGGTCTAGTATAGTTGCTTGAATTATATTTTCTGTTTAACTCTTGCTTCCCTCCCAGAACTTTAACACAATAAGACCTACAAAGGTCTTATTAGACTTAGGAACTCTGGCATGATATGGTCCCCAAGGGAACAACATCCTTGAAAAAGAATACCCTGTGTAACAGTATGACACAGTGACTGCTTTCTTCCCAAACAAAAAGCATATGGGACTCCAATAATAGACCACCTCCAAGAGGGATACTGCACACTCGGGCTTTGACTAAAGTAAATATAATAACTTGTCAAGCATGTTGTGGGGAGCTGTAGATTTTCCCCTGGACAAACCTGGAATATCAATTAACTCTGTAAAATACTTTGTGCTAATACAATGCAACTTCAGACCATCAATGAAAAGTGGTTAGGCACAAAAACACAGGATGTTATTGCAAAACATAACCTTCCTCATACAGTTTGTTTGGAGGTATGACCTATCACTGAGACAATAACAGTAGAAGTCTATCTCTGTAATTTTCTTTTGGTACCTAGGGAATCTCAACAGATAGCATACGAAACAAAGAAGCTTCACTTGTATATTACATTAAATCTTGGCTAACAGTGTCTTGCCTTGATAACATCCAACTTTGACTATGATTAAAACCAAATATGTCAAGACTGTGGAGGAAGACTACAATGATTTAAGTGGAAAAAGACTACAATGATTTAAGTGGAAAAAGAAACCTCTGATGTGCTTTTTAGAAGATCATCAAATTTGTACCCACTGCAGTATGTACACAGAGCCACTTCAAAATGCATGTTTCCTTTCTGGTTTTCAGTACGCCACCACAATTTGAACTAACACAACTGTGACAGTGTTTTTGACAGTAAAACATATTCCCACACTAAGATCAGGCATGACTGTTACACAAGGCAGAATCAATCATGTTATACATGTATACCATGGGAGGTTAATGTTGAAAACAGGAACTTATTAGTTAAGACTACTTCTATCAAATTTTTAATACCTCTAATAATCAATCATTTTCATTTTGGTAACTTTTTTTTTTAATAGTTTCAATAAAAATTAGCCTAAATGCCAGTAAAACCTCATCTCCCAACATAAGTTTAGCAGCCCACCTGCATGGATTAGAGTCCAGTACATGCTGCAATACAATTACCTGACCCCAGCTGCAAATTCTCTTTACACAGTTGACAATACCCTGAGACGGTGGCACAAACTGGAGTTGCCAGCAGTGTCACTTTGCAGAACAACGGCTAAGTCATGGTCCTCCTTCTCCGTGCAGACTTGATGGTTTGGACTGGCACCCAAATTATCCCCAAAACAACTGCCTTACTTGCTCCTCCATATACATACTCTCTGGGCCCATGGATCCTGCTCCCTGATGCTTAAAATAGCCTGTCAGCATACTTACTGTCTTTTTTAAAATAGAGGTATGATAACAAAATGTAACAGTGCAGGATGATCAACAAGTACCCATATTTAGTTATCGTACTTCTATTTTGCTGCCAGTGCCTGCAGAGAAGCAGGAACACCAACTTTGTGTGCACATGTTTATATGCAGATCTAGACATTAGATGGGGAAGGGGAAATGGTTTGGCTTTAATACTTGTAAATTGTGAAGCTAGACTAAGTTTTTTTCATAGCTTTGAATATTCACTATTACATTCTTATTTCTTATTTTGCTAATTAGACTCTCTTCACGTATAGTTGAAACAAACCTCACCAGCTGGTCAGAAACGCAGACAATTTGCCTCTAGCCACTTGTGAAGTGTACCATATTGAGCTGAGAATTACAAACACAGCGCTGTGGGCTTGCACAGATCAACTATACATTTACCTGCCATGTATGTCATTTATGCCTCCTGTATAAAGTGATATTCTAGAAAATGCTGCTCTCCAATGAGCAAATGAAAGAGAAAGAAAACTACCTGGAGCCCACTGGCACCATGTGGAAGTCTGTCATTGCCTTCAATGGCTTTTGACCAGGCTGTGTATGCCCAAAATTAATAATTTCTTGTGTCTATGGCAGGTTGTCCGTCTGAACACAAGGGACGTGGCTGTGCAGGGGATCAATCCTGCTTGCATTTCTCATGCAAGTACGATTTAGCCCCAGCACAGCAGGTGACCTGAGAATGTACAGCACGCTACATGAGACAAATAGCTACTGCGGTGAACCTTGATGCTGCTGGAGAGAAGTGGGCCTAATAAAAATAGCATTTTATTTCTAAGGCGCAATTAAAATCTCGAGTTTAACTTTCAAGTTTCATATAATGAGACCAGTGTTTTAACAAATGGTACTGAAAGTACCATTAGGGGAACTATGATAGTAAAAGATTATCTGCAAAAATGTACCATTTGCAGTGCACCTTTATGCACTCAAAAAAATGTAAATGTCTGCTCACCAGACTGTCTGCTCAAGAAGGTAAACCATTTAGAGGTCTAGCTATTCAAATGGATATGTCAAAAAGACTTTAAAAATCTGTTTCATTACTGATAATGCTCTAATTCTGTCTATGCACTGGAGTGTAATCATTTACGGTATTGACTCATGTTTTACTGGTAAATGGCTCTGTCATAGCAACCTGTTTTTCCCCAGCAAAAAGTGTTTTATTTGCTGCCATGAAAACCACGGCTATCCACCCACTCAGATATGAGCACAACACTTACTGCAAATGTCACAACAACGATTATGAAACAACAGCAATGTGAGTCATGCAGAATTACAGCAAAACAAGTGATACTTTGGGTGATTTTGGAACACTTATCCTATTATTAGAAACTTCTGTACTTTATGTAACTGATGAAAAATGAATTAGATATATAACCTTGGAGAGCTGGCAGCTAATGCTAAGCTAGCAAAGCAATATGTAGCAGTTTGGTTGCTGTTAAACTACCAAGGAAAATCCCACTGAAAACAAAATGCACTGAAATTGAGATTTATGGAAAAATGTTAGAGCCCACAGGACCACAGTATTAACAGTCAAGTAACCAGAGAGGTAAAGAAATCCCTGACTAGATCCAGAAATGGAAGTCAGTAGTTTCAGTTTTTTAGCCCACTTCCAGCTAGCTAAGTGACTGACACATTAATTTCCAGCACATGGAAATTAACTTTAAAAGGAACTTTTTAGGCTCATTTGAAATTTTGGATTGTGTGGAACTAAACCTACAGATGTCTGGCACAGTAATGGCAACTGATGTGCAACGAAGTTTTGTATTAATAAACAGAGTATAACTTTGTTGGTTCTTGGTATAGCCTTTCCAAATCTCCCCAGATTGCCAGTCTGACTGGGTTGTATGCTTGTCTTTATAGTAGTTCAACACTGTGGGCAAGTGTCGAGAAACTAAAACGTGCAAAGTAACAAGCACTGTAAGCCAGTCTGAGTCATTATTCCCCTTACATTTTGTAGTATCCTCAAATCAACACAAGATCCAATTGAGTAGGTTTTCCTGTTTAATACAGCATTAACATCTGTATATGCCAAACTTCTAACTACAACATTCCCAATATTAAAATATACCATTTAATTCTACAGAACTAGGATCTGATCTTATCTGAATGATGGATCTTGCTCTGCATCATTTACATTTTTTTGCAATCACATACAGAGGGGCTATGAGGCAAGACCACATGTTAGCCATCAATGCCATTTTTTTTTCTTTTTGGTTACGGGCCAAAGAGAGGCTACTAATCAGTGTGCAGAGGTCACCCACCTGCCCCCTGGATCATAGTTCACACACACAATTAATTCATTATGGGGAAAAGTCACTGCTGGAGGTTGAACTGCCCATTCTTTTTTTTTTTTTTTTTTTTTTTTTTGAGGTGAGTGTCCTGCCACTGACCTGGAGAAATAGCTCCATTAGCTAAAGCTCTGTTAAATCATGTTTTCTTATGCAATTTTTTCTAACACATTGTATAAACCAATGATTAATAGAAAATTTTACCACCAAAGCAAGAATTGCTATATGTAGGAGCACTGGACACAGGATGTTTCTGAATTTCATTCTCTCTTAGTTGCATTAATTTATTGTCCTTTTACAATATTGCCATGGAAAGCATGACTTAGGCCTGATGTCTATGGTAAATGAGGTTTATCACAACTGATTTACCATCTGCATTCCTGTCGTTATAGGCACGTAAGTATGAAACACAATAATGAGTAGTTAAGATTCCTTCCATGTACAATCTAGCTTCACAAAACAAGTGTCAAAGACTCCTAGCAAATCAGTTACATTGGTAAGCACTGAACAGATAAAGAAACTGAGGTACAGCAAAGGCAGATGTGAAAAAAGACTTAGTCACTTAACACTGATACTGTACCTAAACAAATCTACTTCACCAGCATCTGAACCTCGGATTGCCTTATCTCTTACATGTTAGAGTCAGCAATGATGAAGTCAGTCTTTCACATGTGAAAGTTCTTCATTAGCATTCACCATTGTGCACTTCTTCAAATTATCCCAGAAGGTAAGCCAGATTTCCTCCCACCCACAGCAATATGAGATGCTGAAAACAGGTAAAGCATTGCTTTTTTGCCTCATCCAGGAAGAGGGCTGCAGTGACACTGTAAACACTGCAGTGATTGTTCATCTCATGTTCCACTGTTGTTGCCTCATTAGTTCTTCATTCCCTTGCTCCCCAATATCTTTCCTAATATTCTGCAACACAGATGCTTCCTAATTCCTTCCATAGCCTTCTTCAACTTCTTTGGTAGCATCACAGCTGCTTTTGTTTAGGCTTCTGTTACCGAAGAGTCTCTTTATTTTCTGGCCTCCTTTCTGAACACTTATCTCATATAAAACATACTCTGATGTAAACCTGCAGTGTCCTAGTATCTCTGATGATTATAGCTTCTGCAATTATTTTGCTTGTATGTATCATCAAACTGGAGTTTCAAATCTCTTCAATCTTGCCATCTGAGCAGTCAACTACCCAATAAAGAGAAAGAGTCTTACCTCAGCTTGAATGCTAGATGGCAAAACTGAGGTTTCACTTTCTGTTATACTGCTGGTCGGACCATTGCTTGGGGAACTGGGACCTGATCCAGGGGAGCTGCTACTGACTGAGGATTCTGGAAAACAGATGAAGCATACATGAATTCATGGTTCACACCAAAAAACACAACACTTCAATTAACTGGATACACTTAATGGCACAGGGTGTTTTCTTTTGCTGTTGAAAAATATCTACCAATTATGAATGGGCTATTTACTTACACTAAAGTTTTTTAACTCACTCTCCTTTTCCTTTGTTTGTCCTTTTACAGTGCTAACAAGGAAAGATATTCTTGGTCTTTCTCTTTCTGACCCGTCTGCTTTACAAAGGGTGAATTTAATTATTTAATCATTTTCACAAAGATGGTATGATGCTCAGTATCAGGCAAGGATAGACACACAGGACTTGTAAGGAGTGAAAAGGAAATAAAGTATTTTATTTTTAATTGAGTCCTGCTTCTGTAAGAGATCAAAATGACAGAGATAGTAGGCTTGCAAAGGTCATGATAACATACCATCAATTCATGAGGCCTACTGCCATCCCCTTAGTCTTTAAAAAGGGTGCTGTAGTAGCCAAATTTTTACATATGCAAGTAATAATGACAGAATATACACCACTTTCACTGCATCTTTAGTACAAATACAAAGGAATATTTACCACATACAAAAATCTTAAAATGGCATTTTAAAGGCTATATGTTATCTTGATTTAATATTTCCCGAGTTCTGTTAAAGATAACAGGGAGGAGTCTAATTGTGTGTTGCTGCATTCAGTCATTCTAATCCTATACTGATAGAAATGAAAGTTCTGCACATGGGAACAACTAACAAGGATAAAGATGAAAGAATGTGGCATTAGTAGAGATAAGGCTATTTCAGGTGATAACCTTCAAATGCAAATCTTCAGGAAGTTAAAATAATGAACAACTAAGTGTGGCAGTAAATATTCTATGGCCAGTTCTTTGCTTCTTTGCTCTCTCTCAGTTCACTTGCAAAAATACATCCTCATTTTGACCAAAAGTAACAGGAGATTTCCTGGTAGTTTCTTGGATCTGTTGCTGTTTCTTGCTAAAGCTGATTTCAATTTACTGAAGTGAATCAGTACCCAGCTACAGTAGCTGGTAAGGTAAAGTTCTTTCCCTATTTTCTCACTACTTTTCATAGAGCAGTAGAAACTTTTTTTTTCCTCAGTTTTTGAATAATTATAATAGTTCTTTTATATAAATAAAGGGCTACTTTTAGTTAAAAGAATTTTAAAAAGGAGAAAAAAGCTTCAGCCAAATGCTGCATCAGGGAAGCTCTGTTTATGAAAGGTAAAAAGTGTCATATAACAGATATTGTTAATTACAATTACAATCTGTAATGCTTAGAATTATTGTCAGATCCAGAAAGAGAACACGTTTTTTTTTTTTTTTCTGTTTTGTCAATGGCTGAAGGAAAAGAATATTCTGGGTCAAATATTTTACTTTATACTTTTCTTGCAAGTGTACAAAATATAAAGAAATCATCTAAAACTAAGGAAGTGGGGATCAAGAAGCTCATAACAGCATCAGCAAATGGAAATAGTACATTAGTTGTAAAAATTCTAATGAATGAGAATTTCATTTATGAGGACATTGAAGTGAATTAATTCATTATGCTTTATACTTCCTTCTTGTTGTGACATAATTCTGATATACCAAATGAATTAAGTCACATTTGACAGTTCAGAAACATTTCATTGTATAAGCATACAGCCTGATTGTAGTAACACTTGAACAAGCCATGAAGGTACCAAATACTAATGTGAAGTCAAAGTAAGAAACCTCAAATGTTCTTCTCTTTCAAATCAACAATTAAGGTCTTGACTCATTCTAGTCCTGAGCACCAAAATGAGAGAATTTTAGACTGTTTAGCAGCTGGGGTGCAATTCTGCAAAATAATATGTGACAAAGTTATGACTCTATAATGTCAAACAGGTGAAAGAAAGCCTTGGCATACACTGTTCATCCAGCCTGTCACTTTTTTAGTTCAAGGGTAGGAAAAATATTGAAAGAAATACTACTTGATGACAAATTTTTATTTTGCTTTTTTTCCCTCTATCCCTATATATTCAGAATACTATATCTTTACATGCTAAAAGTTTCCTTTCAATTACCAAGAATACTATCAGCTGTGGCCAAAAATACGTCACTCAGTATTTAAACATTTCAACTTGTGCTACTGAAAAAATAGCTTAGTGAGCCCTTACATCAAAATGAACTGATTGACATTTTCAAGCAAGAGAAACCAGCAGGATAGGACCAAACACAAGATTCCAAAATGGTCCTAAGTAACCTAAGTAACATCAGACCGGTGTGTTTGTGCCTGCTAGTAGCATCTACATTTTCCACAGGAGACAAGAAGTGGGACATGCAAAACTCCAAATGCTCTCCATGTACAGAAGACACAAATTAGGGGAAGATGCTATTGTTTTCTCATTTAATATCCCATACCATCAACAGTTTACTGATTATTTGTTCTACCTGTTTCCCAAGCACTGTTTTCCAAACTGGCTGGAAAGGATGGCTTTCAAATGGACAATGTCTTTTTAGTAAGTGGTAGAAAGCTGAAGATTACAAGTTATTCATACATAGCAATTTCTTTAATATGCTTTTCTTTTCAGCAGCAGGAAAGATTAAAAGAAAAAAAAAAGACGATGCATACTTTTGTTTAGTAAACAATTTAAATTCCAATATACCACTTTTAGGAGTATTTTATATATGCCTGCAAGCAGTCACAGTTATGACATAATTTCTCCATTCTGACATTACCTGTCACCTCAAAGAGTCGCTTCTTGAATGAACTGACAACGTTTCCGTCCTTTCTCCTGAGTAAAGGACTGCTTCTCCTTTCCGTCACCTTTTGTTTTAACCTTGAACGTACCTTCAAATTGGGCTCTGAGGCTGCAGATGAAGAGAAGAAAATGAATGATTATAAAACAAATTATTACTTTACCCAGACACCATTGGCATTCCCTATAGGATCTCATCTGGTCCAAGGAGAGCTCAGAGGCAGAGATTTTACTGCCCATTATCTCCAGTCGTTCTGCTGATCCTCATACAACTCCATCTCAGGCTGAAGGCTCAGAAAGAGAGGAAAGAGGCCAAAAAGCTTTGAATCCCAGTATTGTTACCACCTTCAACTTCACCTCCATTTTGCCCACCCCTAATCCTCTCTTCCAAAACAAGTTCAAAATAAACATGTATTGATGAGAACGCCTCTATTTCCCACCTGCTTATGAGACAACAGCAGAGAAGAGAGGAGAGAATTGTATTTTTATGTAATTTCTTTAACATCCTTAACATTAAAGCGAAATAAAAATTAAAAATTAAATAAAATAAAATAAAATAAAATAAAATAAAATAAAATAAAATAAAATAAAATAAAGCCTGTATTTAACATGTAGTTTATGCAGTAAATTCTGATTTCTTCTTTTCTCTGCCTCTAAACATTTTTGATTCCTCATATATTCTTGAATTTAAGGCACAGACACTAAGCTATTAAAGCAAAATATTTCAGTGGATACGCTGAAAAAGGCAGAAAAGAATTTTAATTATAACACATTGAATTAACTTCTTTTCCTCCCTAAAGAACTAGCCATTATTTTTTTTCTCATTCCATTTCAACTCTAAAGTTACCCATTAATTATCATTAATATCATTAGTATTAATTAGAGATGACTGAAACTTGTGTTCTACACCATTTTAATCTCTCTTGAAGGTGAAAACTTGGATGGAAATACACCTTGGAACTTCGAACATTATAATTGGATTATGGCCTGATGACAGAAATAGAAAGAAACCTCCACTGCTGCCTTTTGATTTCTGTTAGAAATATAAATTATGACAAGACTTGCTGGCAGAACATTTCTTGGTCAGCAATTTTAGGCCCAGATCTTCAATGTTTTCTCAGTAACACACCAAACAACTAGATTTATTACAGTGTCCTAGGAACATTTACACAGAAAAGCATACGGTCTGAAAATGAAGAAGTAGGATTGCTTCCCAGAAAACCTAGGATTACATTTAATGCACCTTGGGCAGGTTCCACCTTTGTTTCCCAAATGGACACAGTCTTTACATGCTAAGACCAGAGATGAAGTTCAGCTATGCTTCTTATTTTGTGATATTTTTAGCATGATGTTTCATGTACTCATTTATCTGTTCTTAAAAGTAAACCCTCTATCAAACAGACTGCTAAGAGCTAGTGAAAGATAATTGTGGAATAGACTTTGTTTGTGTTTCCCCTTCTGGAACTGAGGCTTGGCTAAGCAGTATCTCAAAACAAAGAGAGCTGAAACTGGAATCAGTTCTCTCTCCTATGCACCAACATAAATTCAGCCCCAAAGAAGGAGCAGGAGTTAGCAGAAAAACTAAATAAATGAAATCTTCACTCAATTCAACATTTTACCGCTTGTCATTCTGGGACAGGAACTCACAGAATCACAGAATTTCTAGGTTGGAAGAGACCTCAAGATCATTGAGTCCAACCTCTGACCTAACACTAACAGTCCTCCACTAAACCATATTGCTAAGCTCTACATCTAAACATCTTTTAAAGACCTCCAGGGATGGTGACTCCACCACTTCCCCGGGCAGCCCGTCCCAATGCCTCACAACCCTCTCAGTAAGGAAGTTCTTCCTAACATCCAACCTAAAACTCCCCTGGCGCAACTTTAGCCCATTCCCCCTCGTCCCGTCACCAGGCACGTGGGAGAACAGACCAACCCCCACCTCTCTACAGCCTCCTTTAAGGTACCTATAGAGAGCGATAAGGTTGCCCCTGAGCCTCCTCTTCTCCAGACTGAACAAGCCCAGCTCCCTCAGCCGCTCCTCATAGGACTTGTTCTCCATACCCCTCACCAGCTTCGTTGCCCTTCTCTGGACTCGCTCAAGCACCTTGATGTCCTTCTTGTAGCAAGGGGCCCAAAACTGAACACAGTACTCGAGGTGCGGCCTCACCAGAGACGAGTACAGGGGGACAATCACTTCCCTAGACCTGCTGGCCACACTGCTTCTTATGCAAGCCAGGATGCTGTTGGCCTTCTTGGCCACCTGAGCACACTGCTGGCTCATATTCACCCGACTATCCACCATCACTCCCAGGTCCTTCTCCGCCAGGCAGCCTTCCAATCCCTCATCTCCCAGCCTGTAGCTCTGCTTGGGGTTATTGCGGCCCAGATGCAGAACCCGGCACTTGGCCTTGTTAAACTTCATACAGTTGACCTCAGCCCATCGGTGCAGCCTATCCAGATCCTCCTGCAGAGCCTTCCTACCCTCGAGCAGATCGACACACGCACCTAACTTGGTGTCATCTACAAACTTACTGAGGGTGCACTCAATGCCCTTGTCCAGATCATTGATGAAGATATTAAAGAGGACCAGCCCCAGCACCGAGCCCTGGGGAATGCCACTAGTGACCGGCCTCCAACTGGATTTGACTCCATTCACCATGACTCTTTGGGCCTGGCTATCCAGCTAGTTTCTAACCCAACGAAGCGTACACCAATCCAAGCCACAAGCAGACAGTTTCCAGAGGAGAATGCTGTGGGAAATGGTGTCAAAAGCCTTGCTGCAGTCAAGGTAGACCACATCCACAGCCTTTCCCTCATCCACCAAGTGCGTCACTTTGTCATAGAAGGAGATCAGGTTCATCAAGCAGGACCTGCCTTTCATAAACCCATGCTGACTGGGCCTGATTGCCTGCTTGCCCTGCAAGTGCCGCGTGATGACACTCAAGATAATCTGCTCCATGAGTTTCCCTGGCACTGAGGTCAAACTGACAGGCCTATAGTTCCCCGGGTCTGTCCTCCGGCCCTTCTTGTAGATAGGCGTCACGTTTGCTAGCCGCCAGTCAACTGGGACCTAAAACTCAAACGTATGCTTCTAATTCCAATCCTTGCCCAGCATGTAAGATCACGAATTTGTTTCCTGCTGTCCCACTCATTCCCTCAGTGATGAGGACATGAGAAATGTTCATGTGGGACCAAAGGAACTGCACCTCTGCCAGAGTGCTGCTGTGACCTACAGTTCCCACAGCCACTTGCTCCCTTCACCAGATATTCTGTCACTCTTGGCCAGCTCTCCCTTTAAATATCTTATGAATTGAATACATTTCAGACAAAGGCTAGAAAAATCATGGAAATCTTTAATAATAAAAACATTAACAAGAAATCTTGATTTTATTTGTTACTACCATAATTAAGACCAATGGTTCTTGTACCAGAGACTTGTTTGCTAAGACACCATTTGGTATTAAACTGAAAATATAACAGTGGGCTAAGTTTACACTACATGCTTTCATCACAGGTCTCATCCAAGTATGATGACATTTTAAGAAAAGGTGCTGACCCCACTTGCACTTATGTTTATTTCCATTTTTACTATTCCACAGTCTTAATATTTAGAAAATATTTCTATATCCATGCCAGAGTAATATACAAATCCTCTGCAACATTTACTGGGGAGGTAATCCACTCACACATGAATGTTTCATTCTCACCGTGATTGCCTTTGTGTTTTTACCACACTTCCATCATAAATCTGCATCCCAATCAATAATATAAACAGAGGAAGCAGACTTTGTTCTCAGTGTCTGAATTTATGAGGCAGCTGAGAAGACAGATTTTGTATGAAATATGACATACTATTTTTAAGTGGAAATAACCAATCTTAAAGTGAAAATGTATGAAGAGTGACTTTTAAATTATACAATAAACCTTCCAAGACAAAGCTAAGGGTTAAGGATTGTGTGCTTCAAATGGGAGCCAGTCTCCCATGAGAAACTGCCAGCTGCTAAGACAGTACCAGCTAGGACTCAAGGGCTGGCAATAAGTATTCAGATTTCAGTGTGCTCAGTATATTTAACCAATTTGAGAATCACAGAATCACAGAATTTCTAGGTTGGAAGAGACCTCAAGATCGTCGAGTCCAACCTCTAACCTAACACTAACAGTCCCCACTAAACCATATCCCTAAGCTCTACATCTAAACGTCTTTTGAAGACTTCCAGGGATGGTGACTCCACCACCTCCCTGGGCAGCCTGTTCCAATGCCTCACAACCCTTTCAGTAAAGAAGCTCTTCCTAACATCTAACCTAAAACTCCCCTGGCGCAACTTTAGCCCATTCCCCCTTGTCCTGTCACCAGGCACGTGGGAGAACAGGCCAACCCCCACCTCTCTACAGCCTCCTTTAAGGTACCTATAGAGAGCAATAAGGTTGCCCCTGAGCCTCCTCTTCTCCAGGCTGAACAAGCCCAGCTCCTTCAGCCGCTCCTCGTAGGACTTGTTCTCCATGCCCCTCACCAGCTTCGTTGCCCTTCTCTGGATCCGCTCAAGCACCTTGATGTCCTTCTTGTAGCAAGGGGCCCAAAACTGAACACAGTACTCGAGGTGCAGCCTCACCAGAGCCGAGTACAGGGGGACGATCACCTCCCTAGCCCTGCTGGTCACACTGTTTCTGATACAAGCCAGGATGCCGTTGGCCTTCTTGGCCACCTGAGCACACTGCTGGCTCATATTCACCCGACTGTCCACCATCACTCCCAGGTCCTTCTCCACCTGGCAGCTCTCCAACCACTCATCTCCCAGTCTGTAGCTCTGCTTGGGGTTATTGCGCCCCAGGTGCAGGACCCGGCACTTGGCCTTGTTAAACTTCATGCAGTTGACCTCAGCCCATCGGTGCAGCCTATCCAGATCCTCCTGCAGAGCCTTCCTACCCTCGAGCAGATCAACACACGCACCTAACTTGGTGTCATCTGCAAACTTACTGAGGGTGCACTCAATGCCCTCGTCCAGATCATTGATGAAGATGTTAAAGAGGACCGGCCCCAGCACCGAGTGTCTGGACAAAGTGTAGAACTGGAAATTGGGTTCTTGATACCTTTCAGTGGCTGGGCCATTG